CCTTATAAGATTATCTAACCTAACCTTTATCAAAAAAAAAATGTCTATAAGAAAGTCAAATTAAATTTTTATGAGCGTTTGAAATTCAAATTTTTACAACATTGGATATTCACTCGATTTCTCATGTAGCGATTTCCTTATTTTGTTGTAATTCAAAAACGAATAACTGTAGATACATGAAAATTTCACTGAATGTTTAAATTAGCATTTCCTATACACCATACAATTTTGAATATATTTTGACTCTTTTTGAGCTATTTACGGACATTTACCGCTTTCAATTTTTTTTAGTTTTTTTTCTATAAATATCAATAGTTTTATCTGTTGGGCCAAAAAGTGTAAAAAATTAATACAAGGCTCCTGATATATTGTTACAATAGCAATTGAAAAATATTAAAAATACATAGGCACAGTTTTTTTTATAAGCATTTAAAGATCGAATTTTGACAAAATTTATCAAAATTTCGAAAATTATCAATCATTGTAAATTATAAAATGTTCAGTTTTTATAGCTAAGGATTGCAAATTTAAAACAAAGGTTCTCATAAATAGTTCATACTGTAACCAAAAAATCTAAAAAATATATCAACACAGTTATTTTTTACAGACATTTTAAATTCAAATTTGGACGAAATTACATATTAAAAACCTAGAATAACTATTTTAGTTATTTTGTTGTGATTGTATAATATTATTCGTGGGTTCTTGAAACTTCTAAAGTACACTATTATATCTATGATAGTATGACGGTTTTTTGTTGATGTATAACGCGTTATAAGTACCTAATGGATATTGTGATATGATTAATTTGGAATTTTTATCGGTACCTACCTATTATAGGTCAATATTTTTTAAAATACCATAAATATATGTATATAATATGTCTTAAATCTCGACTGACATACCGTCTCCGCTCAGAATCGTTTTTCTTATACAATGATATTATATCATTGAATTCAAATTTAATACCATCATTACCATCCATTATACAGTGACCAGTGACCCACTTGTAACCTACTATACAGCAAAGCAACTTTTTTCTTTGGAAGGTTCAAGGCTATAACATCCAACATAATGCCATAATGGTTTCCACAAAAAAATTTAAATTGTTTCGAAATCAGAGTTGAAAAAAGTCTTTAAAAAAAAAAAAAATAAAAAATAATACTTCTAAGTATTTTTTTTTAAATGTGCGTTACGTAAAAAATGTAGTTTTTGAAGTTTTTTTATCAATAACTTCAAAACGAAGTTTGTTTGGCCTTTTTTTTTTTACATTTTTACAAAGCACCATAAAATACGGAATTTGGGAAAAAAGTTTTTGAAAAATCGATAGGTTGCTAAACCAGAATTATGCCTCCATTTTTTCTGAGTATTTAAACTAAACATGGGTTCCTATATGAACTAATAGTTATTTGATAACAAAAAAGGTACAAAACATGAATGGCGTGAGGAGGGAGGACCACCAGCTGCATGGATACCCAGGGCCGTCCCGAAAGACAAATCATGGGGGGGGGGGGGGGTGGTTTGATTCATAATTTGCCAACTCCAAAAAAAAATTTTCTCGCTTCGCTCGACAATTACCTCCTACCTGCAACCTGCGACTACATGCATAGTAGTCAGTAGACAAATGTTATACAATATTAAATATTTTATTATGTTCTTACTATGTTCTTTTATTATATCAACAAAAAAATATTATAATAAACTTAACAGTTAACACTACATTTATATACGTCGGTTTTTAAAATTGACCATTGATGTGCTATTTTATTTATATCCAATAGGTCAACACAATATCTTTTTCTACTCCCAATACAATTAAAGAGTTTAATCTCTCATCAGAAATTGTTGACCTAAGATGTGTTTTAATCAATTTTAGTTTACTAAAAGATCTTTCGTTTGATGCGACTGTTACAAGAGAAGTCAATGCTAAACGACAAATTTGATTAGCACATGGTAAAATATGTTTTACTTCTTCTGTTTTTTCCATTAAAGAATTAAATGGTAATGTTCTATCTTCTTGTAACATACTAAATAATATTTCTAATTCTTTTTGAACTAAATCATAATCTAGAAGGTAAGCACCTACACTGCTTGGTGGGAACAAAGAAATGAAATATTGCTTTTATTAAATGGTTGAGTAAATAATGGTTGAATAGAAGCAATACATGATTTTAAATTATCATTTGTTAGTTTTAATAGGGTATCTAGAACCATTTTAAATTCTTTTCTATAAAATAGATGCATTGTGAATTCAGCTTGGGTTGTGGCATTACAATCATATCGTTTAGGAGCTAATCTTTTACGATGATGGTTTTTAAAATCAGCGCACAATTCCTTATCAGTTATCATTACAGCTTTATTAAAAATAATTCAATGATTATATGACAGAATATAATATATTATGAAATTTCATATATTATTCTGTGATTATTCGAATATGTATAGGCAATTTTGTATACTACTATACTGTTATAATATTATATATGCGATACATTGATAGGTAAAGTCTAAAATATTATAATAGTAGGTATTAACTGTGTTGGACAGTTGGCAATCAGAAAATTAACTTATAATACCTTCATATTATTATAAATTACAATATATTATTATGATATATTTGGACTTAGTAGTATATACAAAATTATTAAAAAACTGTAAAAAAAAATTATAATTTGCCGAGTGCCAACTGCCCAACTCAAATACTTAATGTAGGTATCAATGTGCCAACTGACATATACATATTATACGCTCAGGGGGGTGGGACACCCCCTAAAACCCCCCTTCGGGACGGCCCTGTGGATACCCAGCTCTAACTTGGGGTAGGGAGTTTTATTTTTTTTTAAATTAGTGCAGCTCTGGATTCAGAAGATATCGACACCAGTGTCTTCTTAATTGACGTGGGGTGTTATTTGGCATGAATTTACTGGCTAAGTTAGAAATCAATGGATTTGTGTGGTAAACTTTTTTAGTCTGGACATTTTTATAGTAGGTAATTTTTGGCTGTTTATGCTATTTCAATTTTAAGATCTTTATGTGGTGAGAGGTTCAGAGGTTTGAGACGTACCATGACGCAGATATTATTTGGTGAAGGGAAATAGATTGGAAGGCTTGTGTAGTCTGTAATTAGGAAGGCTTGGCACATTCCCATATTTGGATGCCGGGCCAAAACTTAAAAATAAAGAGGAAAGAAAATGTTTGTGTTTTATTTTAGATATTAATTTTTCTTTTATAAACCACCTATCAAATTGTATGTTATAATATACTATTTAATATTAAATGATGTAAATAATGTGTTACATGCCTATAGTCAGGCGCGGACTGGTAAAAAAGGGCAAGGGATGCTACACAATTTAAAGGGCAAATAACGAAAATTGTTAGGGCAAATTTAAAAACATGTACCAAACTAGGTAATTTATAAAATATTAATATATTTTATATTGTTTTGAAAAAATATTAAATATTGAATATACATTACGAACATAAATGAGTACCAAGTTACAACAAACTTTCAATAAAAATTTTACATTATAGATCACTAATAATCCCAGCCAGTCCGCGCCTGCCTATAGTCATGTATAAATAACAATATTACCAAAGGGATAAAGATTATTCAAAATGTGATTTTGAATGCTTATAATTTGATGGGAAAAAATTGCTTAAACTAAATTTGTAAAGTTATATTCAAAAAGGTGGGCAAGTGGGTGTCGCTCTGCTGTACAGTAGGTTACAAGTGGGTCACTGTATAATGGATGGTATTAAATTTGAATTCAATGATATAATATCATTGTATAAGAAAAACGATTCTGAGTGGTGACGGTATGTCAGTCTATGTATAAGACATATTATATACATATCTATGGTATTAAACAAAAAATTGACCTATAATAGGTACCTATAATAAATTCCAAATTAATCATATCACAATATCCATTAGATACTTATAACGCGTTATACATCAACAAAAACCGTGATACTATCATAGATATATAATAGTACACTTTAGAAGTTTCAAGTACCCACGAATAATATTATTCAATCACAACAAAATAACTAAAATAGTTATTCTAGGTTTTTTAATATGTAATTTCGTCCAAATTTGAATTTAAAATGTCTGTAAAAAATAAGTGTGTTACAGAGTTACACCAATAACCAAAATCGATTTTTTGGAAAACCAATTTTGCGTAAAAATTCCCGTTTTTCCTTAATTTTTATGTTGTTTTTCCCGGCGCTTGTGAAAACTACTGGGAAATTTACACTTTTGACCCCCCAAAGTACCAACTAGATTCACTTTCCTATCAGAAAAGCCACTGATGAAGAAAATCCAAGCACTTTTACTGTCCTAAAACGTGATGACAGACACAAAAAAAATAATAATATAAAAATATAAAAACATACATCATTGTAAAACCAATACATTCATCGCTCCGCTCAGAATCTAAAACTGTCAAATACTCGATATTTGGAATTTTTATGCTCAACGTGTTGGTAAAATCGGAATTAACCTATCTCATTACTTACTTTTTTTGTAATTCACGGTTATGTACTACGATTAAGAAAGTAAGTAAGATAGGTAAGGTTTATTCTGATTTCACCTACCCCTTGAGACAAAAGATCAACATTACGGTTGTATATCTACAACTGTGAATTCAACCATGCTTACCGCGGTCTCCCATTACATTGTATTAATAATTATTATTATTGAATATAGACAAAATGACAACAATCTTCTAAAGTCAGGCACTCAAATGTGTATCTAGAAAATTGAGCAGCCTTACAACAATACAACTGTCAGCTATGTACCATCCTCTAAAAAGTATAGATTTAAAAAACATATTTATGAGCCAGTTATTAAAAATTATATTGTTTTAACTTTCCCAGTATAGTACAATAAGTGAAAAAAAATTTAACAACTTTTAAGTATAATATGAATTATAATTATTAAATAATAAAACTTCTTAGGAAATTAATTGAAATTTTAACAAAAATTATAATAGTTGATCTTATGTAGCGGTTGACTTTAAATAATTTTTGGCTTTTTCATAATTGTTATCAAATCTTTTCAATACTATAATATTCTGTATAGTGTTAGTATATCCATCTGCTACTAACATCTCTAATAAAACATCAATATCTTTGGATATGAGACCTGAAGCTGTTGGTTGTGCATCCAATTTCAAATTCATCAAGTTTTCAGAAATGGTTGATAAGTTCTGTAATATTTAATAAAATGTTTCTTTTTATTTTAAATTATCAGTTATTGTGTCAATTATATTTAAACTTTACATCATTAGTTCCAGCAGTCGAGGACAACTTTTCCTTGTCCTTCTTGATTTTTTTCTGGCGCAGACCAAGGTTGGGCTTTATGTCTAGGTCTTCTTCGCCTAAATCAATACATATATTTTAAAAACTATTGTTTATTTGAAATTTACATCTCATTATATTTTTCAAACTTAAATTCACCTAAGGTATTATTCTTGGATTTGTTTCCAGAAACTATGTCTAAGTGTTCAGCCATAATCGACCTATATAATATATATATTTTAATAAGTAAGTAATTAAAAAAATTATGATATATATTTAATAATACCTAATACTTGAAAAAGTACTGGTTTTATTTTCATACATTTTTTTGGTAAAGTCATCTGATAGTCCATCAATTTTAGATGCTAATTTGTCAATTTTATTTGATAACATCTGAAATTCAAACTATAATTAATGTTTTCATAAAAACATACAATAAATGTTTTTACTACCACAAATTGAGCTTTTGTGTCATCTGGCAGTTCATGAATTACGGTTACCACAAGTTCTACATTGCAATAAATTTCTTTGGTTACAGCATTATAGGCAAGTTTTGTTTTCTATAATTAATAAATACTGTAAATAAGTAAAAAATTAAGTCTATAACCCCCTATAAACATTAAACATTGTTATCAGAACTGATAAAAAATATATTAACAAATTAATTGATTTATTTGGTAAAACTATGGTAAATTTATATTGTTCTAAGCAGTTTATAAACAAAAAAAAGTTGTCTTGCATACCTATTTGAGAGTATTTAGATTATTTAGCATATTTTACAAACATTTTAAAATTTTCTCACTAGATAGAAAAATTACTATTTACTTTTAATTTTAAAATTATTATTGTACCTAAAAAGTATTTTCCAACCATAATTTTTGTATTATTTTCATAAAATAAAACAAGGAGGGATGGTACTATTAAGTCACCGTGCTGTTACATATTACTTTACCTAACCTATACTCATAAGGACATAAACATTATCAAAACTATAAATATTAGGTTTGTCAAATTACTGTTTTTGTAAAAAAAATCCAACTGTTCAATTCCAAAGACACAATTTTAATTTTTAACTGTTAATATAGTGTAATTATTCCAATATATAAGTTTATGTCTCAATAATATAATTATTTAAGGAATATTGTAAAAAATAAATACAAATGTTGTGTATCTAAGGATTCACCAAGCATGACCAACCCCCATTTTTTCTTTAATAATGAATTAATTTGAATTCTTGAATGTTTTTCTATTACTAGAATATCCTGTAACGATACAAATTTATATTTTTCAAATGAGCACCCCCTCTTTTTACTACAAATTATTAAGCTGGTGATTTTCTTGAAAATGTTGATGTATCTGAATCAAAATTCTAATAAGTAGTTTCCAAGGTTATTAAAAAGTTTGTACTAAGGATAATTAAATTCTTTTAATACGAAACTAGCAGTTTTTTTTATCACAATTCAATTCATGTAGCTCACATATTTAATAGGGTTGCAAAAAGGGTTTTAGAAATGTATCCAGACATAAATTAATTAATAACATACAAAAAGTATTTCTAAAATCTGTATACCATGTACAAGTGTATAAAAAAATATTACCAGATATCCGTTACCCCACTGAACCAGTACTAACCAGATGGGAATCTGGTTGGAATCTGCTATTTTTAATTGTAATAATTTCCAGGTTTAAAAAAACTTATTGAAGAATTAAGAGGTCAAAAATCTCCCAGTCAGTATGTACTTATGTTAAATAGTTTTTGACTTAAAACCGTAGAAAACGATCTAATATTCATTATGGAAAATTTTCTTGTGCTCGTAACTAGGGATCAAAATGTCGGAAAAGAACCGTTTTTTTCATAGAGCATAGGAAAACCTGGAAAAATTGGAGAATATTAAAATAATAATTTCCGAAAAAACAGGTTCGGAAAATTAAAAAAAAACCAAATTTTTGGAAAATTAAAAAAATATATTAAAACTTAAAAATTAAAATTATCTAAGTAAAAAAAAAAAAAAACCATTTTAAAAAATAGATAAGGAAGCCTGTCAGTCATTTCACATTTGCCAATACGGTTATATCAATGTATTATTGTATTAAAATTTAAAATTAAACTATTAAAAATATTAATACAGATATTTGAATATTTGTTCCAAAAATAACATATATCAAGTTACATATCAAATTGGTATTTATATGGGAGAGTGTATTTCCCTGAAAATAAATCACATTATTTTTAAATGTTTATGATTAATATTACTTGTAAGTCGTAGATAAAATATATAGACAGCGCACGATTGACAAATTACTAATGGAAATATTAATTAATAATTATTAGGAAAATAAATAACAACAATTGGCAAACATCATTGGCGGAAATACGGGATACGATAATATATTTTTATATTATTGTAAATTATTTATTATTATTTTTCAATTTTAAAAAAAAACCAGTTTTTTCCGGAAATTTTAAATCAAACCAAATTTTCCTAATTTTCCCGAAAAAAACCTGGATTTATTTCGGAAATTTTGATCAATACTCGTAACATCCATCAAAAGTTTAGAAAAGTCTAATGTGTCTCTTGTTGATTCTATAAATCTAATTGAAAATATAATTTGTAGACTTCAAAAAATACCTGGAGAAAATGAAAAAAAATAAAATAAAAATTTATCAACTTCAACAAAAAAATCAAGGGCTCAATAGCCAGTCATGTAAAGAATACTTTTGAAAAGTACTTGAGTAAGTACTCAAATACATTTTTTTTTAAGTATTTAAGATACTACTCAAATACTTTAATTGTATAGTATTTCAAATACTACTCAAATACTTTGAAAAAGTATTTGGAATACTTTTCAAATACTTTTGGTTTTTAAAGTGGGTTTCTAATTATTGTAATATAGACACATAGGTAGTAAATTTATAATCATTTTTATTTTTTATTTATTTAATAAATGTTTATTACATTTTTTTTTTTTATTTTTACATGAAATTTACAATCTGTTCTTAACTAGAACAATAAGCAAATGTGCATAGGGTATTTGCGTATGATTTGTTTTTTTTTTGGGAAGAAACCACTCATTGGTGATACTACCTATTTTGTGTTCTTAATTCATTCTAAAATTTCTAAAATTATTTCGAATAAAATTAAAATGTTCGAAATAAAAAACCAAAGTATTCAATACCAAAAAGTATTTAATACAAAAAAAAGTATTTAAAATACCATTCAAAATACTTCATGCTGAAAGTATTTAAAAAGTTATTCAATACTTAAAAAAGTATTTGAATACTTTTACTCAAATACTTTACAGGACTGTCAATGGCTCATCATTTTGAAAAACGTATCTAAAGTTTTGAATTTAAATATTTAAGTACAATCTATAGATAATTTTTCACTGGCTATGATAACTGATTTGCAATATGCTCCTGTGACATCACTGGATACCAAACATTCTTTTAGCGCATATAAAAAAATTTTAACCGACCGTCGTACAAATATGACAACAGAGCACGAGGAACAAAATATAGTTGTCAACTGTTTTCAAAAATGTTCTTAGTTAAAAATTTAAAATAATTGATTATTAAATATTATTATTAATAATTTAATCAAACTTTTTTAACATGTAGTATTTTTATTATGTTTCATTCATATCAGGTTTTGTATTATTTGCTTAATTATTTTGCATATTATGTATCTATATATATATATCAGTTTTTTGTATTATGTGTTTATTATTTTTGCATATAAATGCAATTTTTAGCTCAAGAGAATGTTTTAGTAAAAAAGCATATTTTCAATTTTTTAAAAGAATATTAGCATCTTATTTTGGCTATTTTAAAAGAATATAATTCCGACCCCTACTTATAACCTATAGTCCAGATTTATATTCTCTTAAAGCACCTAAAGGCTAAAATGTTATGCAAATTGAATATTTTCTACAAATCTACTTATAGTCATTTAAAAATTAGAAAAATATGTTCTAATAATCAATGAATCATTATGAGCTTGAATATGCAATTTTTTTAATATTCTTTTTACAATAATATGCTACACACTTACATACTTGAATAATTTCACTGTAACAGTTAAAATACTGTCTTTGGTGTTGAAAGGTTATATCTATTGTTTTAAAAGGGTTTTTTATTTTAAAGACTTAAAAACACATGTCACAAAACCAAATATTTGTACTTTTGATAAATAAATACCTAAGTTATTGTTATTAGTACCTATAGATAAAGTAATCCCACCAAAAACATATATGTAAAATGAGAGCCAAGTTCAATACTATAATATATGCCTTGGTTGTTGACTTCAGCGACAAAAGAAGTGAGATCTAAATGGGTGCCAAGTTAGGATAATATATTGAAGCCTAAGGTGTGACTTGGCTACTTTTCATATACGAATTAGTATTATAAGTACCTACTAAAACAGACAAAACAGTAATGGAAGAGTGAAGATGATTTTCCGAAGAATAAAATAAGAACTCAAAGCTTTAGAACTTGCAAATGCTATAATATATAATTCGTAGCCAAGTCAGACCTTAGGCTTCAATATATTATCCTAACTTGGCACCCATTTAGATCTCACTTCTTTTGTCGCTGAAGTCAACAACCAAGGCATATATTATAGTATTGAACTTGGCTCTCATTTTACATATATGTTTTTGGTGGGATATCATTACTTTTTGTATGTAAATTATTGTAACCTAACCTAACCTAGCCATGACGTATTCTATAAATAAAGTTTATTACTATATAATATAATTCAGTTACTAATATTAATAATAATATTTATTATAAAATATTTTCCGTTGTATATACAGAGTATAAAATATATGTAAAATTAATATACAATTATTTTAACTCTTTTTGAGTATATTTTTAATTATCATAATTTTATTGACTGTAGTTTCTACTGTTGGGTGGATAATTCATAATTTGTAAGAATAATTATTTAATTATTTTAATTGTAATATTTAAAAAAAATAATATTAATTACATACATAGATAGAAAAAAAAGTATGTTGCTGCGCGCGGATCGACAATATCGACACATATTCGGCTAGTCGTATTTTTGGAGCGGCGATACGGGAAAGGTTATTTAAGTCAACATTACATTAAATTACATTAAATTAGAGGCAATTCATTAATAAATTGAAAAATTAAACATAATAGATAAAATAATTGCAAAATTATAATAAAATCAATTGATTAAAAAATTACAAATTACAAATTAAAAAATTTTAAATTAAAAATGTTCAAGTTTCTGATTTTTTCCTTTGTATTTACCTAACTACCTATCTGTATGCCAAATTTGAACTTTCTAGGTCATCTGGAACTGGGTTAGAATTTTGATCTATAGGTAAGTCAGTGATAAAAATGACGATTTTCGGACGTTAATATCTAAATAACGGTTTGAAGTGTGTTTATGAAATTTAGAGCACATATGTATCTCGTTAGTCTCAATATATGAGAAAAATTTGACATGTTTATGTGGAATAGTTTTTGAGTTATGAGGGGGTCAAAAGTGGCTCCAAATGGTTCGTGTAATATTACACACGGTGCTGCTCGCCAGTTCTGTGAGCTAGAACTTGGCTTGACACGCTACCGCGTGTCTAGATACATAATATAGATAACGGTGTAGCAACAATTGCTGCTATCACTGAGTGTTTTTTTTCCAAAACTATATACAAGTTGATTCTTTTATCATGAAACACTCCTTGTTTTAAAAAGTATTAAATGTTTTTGAAATTTTTTTTACATAGTTTCAAGGTGTTTAAACAATGTTTTTAAATATTTTTTATCCTTATAATTTTTTAAGTTTTACTTTTTTGAATGACAACAGAGTTAGTTTCATATTTCAAAGCAGAATATTTTTCTAAGTATTATGATACATAAAAATCAAATTTAGGACGAATATGAATTTATAAGTTATAACCAGGGCTCGGGACTTAAAGCATTTGCTTATTTTTTTAGATTGACTTAAAATGTAGCAGAGTACTATAGAAGTGTATGTCATGTTACAACACATTCAATTATGAAATTTGAGAGTGCTTTTTTTTGCTTTTTTCAGTGATTTTTCAAAAAATGCTTATTTCAAGTTTTTATGATAATTATTGCTTTTTTGACCAGTTTTCATACTTTTTTATGGTTTTCTACTGCAAAGTTGTTTTTGATAGAATTAAAATTAAAAAAAATTTAAATAAAAAAATTTATTAAAATTTATTAAAAAATTTTTTTTTTTCAACTATTTGTAAATATTGTTTACATTTTATTTTTCAGAAAATCCCTTGGAAAATCCATAAAATCCTCAGTCCTGAAAATGAAGTTTAATTTTTTTTATAATATAAAGATAAATTTTTATTTTATTGTTTTTGTTTTTAATAAATATTTTTGCTTAAATTTAAGTTTTTTAAATGTTTATTTGAGTGCTTATAATGATGTTTTTAAGTGCTTATTTTAATGATTTTAAGTGCTTTAAGTCCCGAGCCCTGGTTATAACTTACTAAGTATTTATTGAAGCGGAGTAGTGGACGAACATTTGGCAGGCTAATCCTGTACCACTCTACTCCATCAATCTAAAATTTAAATACTTATAATGTTAAACTACTCAAATTAATTTCAATTTACATGAATCAAAATGCTTATAAAAATATTAGGCTTTAGAATATGAAATTCAAACTCTGTTGTCATTCAAAAAAGTAAAAAACTTAAAAAATTATGAGGATAAAAAATATTTAAAAATATAATTTATTAATAAAAACAATGTTTAAACAACTTGAAACTGTCTAAAAAAAAATGAATGTTCAAAAACATTAATACTTTTTGAAATAATGAGTGTTTCATGATAAAAGAATCACCCTGTATAAAAAAAAGTTATTGTTGATAAAATCATTTTTCAGGTACCGTAACATTAAAATGAATAACAATTATTATAAAATAAAATAAGTTGGTATTTTTTTCACAATCTACAAAACATACTAAATAATCTAAATATTTCGTAACCCATGAAATATTTTCAAATATTAAAAAAAAGGTTTTCCTGTGAACTTTGACAAATTAACCGACCACATATTTCACTGAAGATTGCATTAACTCAATAACAAAATGTAAAAACGTATAAATCCAGACTATAGTTATCACATTAATACTTAGCACCAGTAAATGTCTGTTAGTCAGATAATTTTTATTAACTGTTACAAAACTTTAAAAAAATAAAATAAATCATAATAATAATATATTGTTTAAATTAATCGTAACATATTTTAGAGGATGTCAGCACAATATTTGTTATCTATCTCAGATTCACTTGCAACATTTATAAAACACATAAATGTAAAACAGTTTATTATGATTTTGAGTAATTTAGTATTAGAAATTATTGTTATTTGATTTTATATTTGATACAAAAAAATAAAAAATATTGTTAATTTAAATGGATATTCAATTATTTTCAGTTACTAATATGACAAACCACATGTCATACCCTAAAAATATTATTCTCTATAATTTTTATTTTACGTTAAGATTATTAAAAAACACATAATAAGATTTGTCAACTTTTATATTGAAGCGAATTTATCTATTATTAAACACTATTACTGTTACTTAATAACTGAACATACTGATACAATATTTTTTGAAATTTCAAAAAATTTTTTAATATAATGCATAATTATGAACTTTACCTTTAAAAATTCAATGTCATCATCTGAATGGATTTCCATCTATAAAAAATTATTTTTAATTCATAAGTTTGAATATAATACTAGATGCAGGTACATAATATAGGTATATTTTATAAAATGAAATAAATTATTATACAGGATGGATTTTTAGACATGCTTACCCTTTTTTGGTATGTTAAAAATTTTAATTATAGATATTTCACATTTTGATATTTAGAATTTTTTGCTTGAGAATTTCAATGAATCTAAATCAAAATTTGAACTAGTAGTTTTTGAGTTACCTATTTAACTTAAAAGACTTTATGTCTATGGTGTTGGGGTAAATATTTGTTCACTAATCGCCTTGATCTATCAATATAAATCATTTGTAAAAATGATCAAAGTATTATGAAAACTATATTTAATATTACATATTGTTTATATTTTTGTAAAACCATATTTAAGGATTAATATCCTTCGTAAAAACATTTTAATAAACTTGGAAACTACTAATTAGAATTTAGATTTAGATACATCAACATTTGAAAAATAAAAGTTTGTATCGCCACAAGACACTCATTAGTACCATCCTCTGGGACCCGTCCACCGCTTCTGCACGGATGCAAAACATGGATACTCTACAAGGCACAACAAAATAACCTACTAATATTTGAAAAAAAAAATTCTTAGATCCATCTTTGGACCATGGATATATGCAAATACAAGAGAATGAAGTATCAGAAATAATGAGTAGATTAAAGAGATGAACCAAAAAAAAAGTAGATGAAGAAGCGGCTCTTATGAGCTGGCCACGCATGGCAAAAAGTTGGATAACTTATAAACTTGGTACAATGTGGCACTCCAGTAAGAAAAAGACCAATAGGATGATCAAGATTAAGATAGGAGGACCAGGTGATGAAAGATGTGAAACAAATTGTACCGGACGCAAAGTGGAGTCTTAGAGTTGAACAGAGAGAGATGGCATAGCATATGTTCGTCAGTATGGTCTTGAACTCTGAAGGCCATTAACTACCAAACGTATTATGTAAGTACTTAAAAATGATAAAATTCAGAATTTGAACAAATGTATTATAAAAGAAAAAATGGGGGAAGCATGTTTAAAAAAGTCACCATGTATTAAATATTATTTTGATCTTTGACTACTGCTGTTATGTACATGTTTTCTCTATTTGAAACATATAGAAGGGAAATTTCCAATTAAAAAAGTATTTCCAATAAAGCGATTTTCATACAGAACGGCAAGGTATTTATATATCTAAGGTATAATCATATTTGAATGAAGTAGTCAAAGAGTTAGTTAACAATAATGGATTATAATATGTATTATGTATTAAAATTATCTTACCATCTTTCCGTCAGGTGTTGGACATAATATCACTAATTCGTCTGTTTCCTCTAATTTTAATTCATTTTTCTATAAAATAATTAATATTATAAATTTAATATAATTTATACCTAAAGATAAGAGTAAAATCAATTCTTGTGATATAACTAATAGTATATACTAAAAGCTAATAAAAAACAATGAAATTAATTGGTAAAATTAATCGTCAGTTAATAATAATTGTTAATGCTAGTTAATCTATTTACCAGTTTTTCAATAAATCCAGATACGTCTCCAGGAGTTTTTATTTTAAGTTCAAATAATGCTTTTTTATAGCGAATGTTAAATGTAACAAAATCGTTAGACATGTTTTGGTATGTATTTTTGTTTTAATCAAAAATTATTAATATGCACTAATATACTCTAGGGTATAAGATGTATTGAACGTGTAGACAATAAAAATATAGAATTTAATAGATTATCTCGGGTCCATGTTCAACACTCAACACTCAACAATGCCACTGGTCTGGTCACTACTCACTACTCAGTACTCACTATACAGTAAAGTATAAACTATAAGTATTCTATTACTACTGTGCCACTGTGGTGTGAGTGTCACTGTACGAACTACGAGTACGACAGAAATAAACCAGCAGTTGATACGAAGAGTAGAAAAGTTAGAATTTACAATAGGCCTATAAGAACAGGATAACTGGAGAAGTAAAGAATAAAAACGGAAAAACCTATAGATGCTTACATGACAAAAATACAAATCAAAAACAAATCGACGTATTTACTATTTACTGTATTCACATTTTACAGTATAACATAGCATAATCATAATATTATCACAAATGTGATATTATTAAGATAAAAATATAAAACCACGGTTGTATTGGTTGTATACAATGCTTAAGATAGATCTATAAACAAACAACGGTACTATTATTGTTCTATGGTACTCGTGTCCGTGGTAGCATTGGTTATTTTTTTTCATTAGTTATTTCCCACAGATATATAAAAATACTACATTTTTAAGTATCTGAGTTATTTCCATAACATATACAATTAAAGGTACATCTTAAATCGTGGTTATTTCCCACAGACTTCTATAAAACCACAGAACAATAACAACAACACAGATAAGGAACCCTTATACAATTTACATTTACAAGTGAAGCTCAGCTGTGAACGGCCGCCATTTTGTCGGTTGGCAAAACATTTCATTTTATAAATGTAACCACACGGTTGTCAAAAGTTGAATATATTCAACTATGCGGTATCGTTTGGTAACTGTGGTAACCGTGATTATTTTACACGACACGGTATAGTATACTGCAAGGTTTATAGATTATACAGGTTGCCTCATAGTCATGTAAACAAAACGTTTCCCCCCGTACCGTTCCTCGTCTACTGACGTCATTGCCGGAACAATCGACTGCCGTAGTGCGGTACAATGTATCATTTACTTATTTTCAACAGTATAATAATTAATAAAATCATTTTTTACATACTTTCTTTTGATTTTGATAACTTAATTATTAAGGAATTATTCATTTGATTTACCAGCTGTTTAATTATATAATAAATAATAATTATCGAATATAATATATTTATTTTTAATACAGTGTAAAATCAGTAACTCGAAGCTCACGGCCCACTGGGGGAAAAAAGTCCGAATTATTAAAAATTTCGAGTTATCAAAACCTTAATGTGTTATTATGTTACTTGAAGGGGAATTTTATTTGTTTGAGATGTCGAGAATTTCTAGTTATTAAGGTTCAAGTTACCTATTGAGAGTACACTGTATATCACAAATAGCTCCTACTATTTAACTAACAGCTATGTTCAGCATGCAATAGGTATATCATTTGGTAGTAAAATAATATGGTAAAAATACTTACAGAAGTTAGTAAAACTACAAAAAGTTCAAACATAATATGTCGTAGGTACCTATTTTGTATTTTTACATGATAAATAAAATTTAACAAAACTAAAATTTGATAAAAACGATTGATCTATTTTTTCTTTCAACAAATATTAATTTGAAGATAGAAAAATCAACTTTCTAAAAAATATTTTACACTTATCTTGCATAATACCAATTGTAATTGACCAATAAATAAAATGTTGTGCAGGTACAATTAGAAAACTATCAATAAATAAATAAAGACGACAACCAAGAAACCAATCTGCAAGTTGTGTACATACATTTTTAATATTCTTTCATATAAATACAAATATTACAATATAATATAATTCATAATATAATAATATTATATAATAAAATAATAATAATATAATTATTAGTGAATCACTCTGTATAAATTTTCAAGTCATAAGTTTTCTCAATTTTTGTAGTTCTTGTAACTGTAACTTTGCTTTTCTTTTTGAAGCTAAAATTTGATGATTTTTATTTGCATATTTCATACGAATAGAGATCCTTTGCCTTACAAATGTATGTATAACTGGTCTATACTTTTCTTCAATATCCATTCTATTCATTATTTTATGTAAAAGTTGTTTTACTACACCTGGTCCTTTAGGGATTTTCTGCTTGGTAATTTTTTTTAAAACTCTTTCAGCTCTAAAAATGTGTTTTTTAAAGTTATTACTAGGGACTATTAGGCCACCATATGATAAATAATCAATCCACGAAGGAAGTAGATAGTCATGTTCATGGAACTCATGATTATTGTATATTATACTACTCTAAATTATAAAATTAATATAATTAATCAGCAATTACGTCTAAATTATAGAAATTAAGCATAACGTTTACGCATAAAACATGTTTTTTGCGGTGTGTGCCGGTGTTCGTGTTCAGTGTTGCCAGAAGTTATAACTCTGAAATAGCTGTAGGTTAACTTCAAAATAGCTAGAAATAGCTAGATATAAAATATATTGTATTTATGTATAATAACCACATTTTCATGATTACTGCTCAACTTCCTGGTTATAAATTATCAGTTATCACTTAATACTTATCAGTTCCAATGCCTACTAACTTGTTTAATGACAGCCCTTTATTGGTAAGTGTTTGTTTAATAGTATTTGTTATTGTTTGTGCATCACAAGCTTCTATTTCAACTAAACTTAAATATGTTGATACAACTTCACCAATTTCTCTGTGTAAAAACATAATAGTTATACCTAAAAATTTGTTTACACTTATGTCTGTTGATTCATCAATTAAAATGCTATAATAATTATCACCAATACTTTCCTTCAGATTTGACACAAAATGTGGAGCTAAAACCGAATTTATTATAGCAGTACATTTTGTTCTGTGCAATGACAAATTTAAGGCTGCTTCACTGGTTTTAAACTGTTTTGAACAAAGTACTCCTAAGTGATCTACAGATAATATAGAACAATGAGCAGCAATAAATAAACTTAAACCCCCTGCAGCTGCATTTGAGGATACTGAATCTTTAACGTATGTTGAAATTGACTTAGACGTTGATATCACTCCAACAGCATTTAAATGTTTTTTTGATTTAGCATGCGTCAACAAATCAAATCGCTTGGCATTAATTTCGGTTTTGCAATACTTACATCTGGCTTTAGAGGAATTCGTATCAATTTCAAGTAACCAATTTTTGAAGTCTCTGTCTTGAAGCCATTCTTTACGAAACTTTTGTAAGTATTGTGGCTTACCCATACTTTTACACTTAACACTTGAATATTATTGAATAATAATACACTTTACTTTTAATTTTAGGAATATGAGGAATCACTACGATTATATCCACTGTGAATAACACACTGTTATATCCACTGTGAATAACACACTGTTATATCCACTGTGAATAACACAGTGTTAATAAAAAGTACCTTCTACAGATTATCTCTGGCATTTCCAATATTAATAATATATATTGGTACTATATTATTATATGTAATATATATAATATATAATACCATTACAAATAATTTTATATTGATCTGCAATTCAACTAATAAAAAAACAAAGTATAACATTTGGGACCTATGATTATTTACAATAAATAACAATTATAATATTATTTAAATTTATGCGGGAAATGTTGGTATATTATCATATTATGCATAGAACCTTTTATTTTAAACCGCGATTTATCAATTATCAGCGAGATATTCAGGGTAAAAACCAAGGTTTATAGATAATATTAGATAATAATATAATATTATCTATAGCCGTGGTAAAAACCACAGAGTAATAACTTAGATAGTATGTTATTATCTAAGACATGCCCATTATGGCCCATGGATCTACGTAATTCATGGTACATAATAATAATTTTATTTTATAACAATTATTTATAAGTTTAGCTATGTTTTAGCAAAGCTTCCTTAAAGAATTGCTAGTTTTCTAGCCAACTGCTAGGTACTGAATTTAATAGCTAAGTGCCCACTGAAAATAGCTAGTTTTAGCTATAAAATAGCTAAATTGGCAACACTGTTCGTGTTCCGGCAGTGACGTCAGGAGCGTTATTCCCCCCACTCTCATTTTTTCGTAAATTCAGAAGTGAGGCAACCTGTATAATCTATAAACCTTGAGTATACTGAACCCCCCTTTAGGAATAATATTTTTTTTAACGGTCAAATAAAATAGTAAATGTAAAATGACTATATAAAATTTTTTTTTTTTTGTGACCTAAATGTTTAGAAATAATAAAATACGATATAAAATAAATCATAATATCATCTTATTTGTCATATGAAACACCATACAATTGCCAACCGACCTTGAGGCTTGAATCTTCAATTCATGACCGGAGTTCGCTATCTAGTATTCTAGTAATATATAGAAATCTGTGTTATTTCGTCGTGCGTGGTAGCATTGGTGGTAGACACTGAGTGACACTGGTCACTGGTGCCACAAGCACAACACGATCATAAAACAAGATATCTTTAATCGTGGTGGTCACAGCTGATATATAAAACTACTACGTATTATATATGTGTGGTGGTGGTAGACAGGATCCTGTGGTTGTTATCAAGATTAAAATTTTTCAATTGACTCAGTTGTACCAACAGATATTGTATTCGACATCTTCTACACAAACGATTTTGTTTTATGTCTGTGAGGGAATTGGGTACATTGCTTGATCAGGATTGTTTTGAGGTTACTTTTGAGTGGGATTGACATTTGTCAAAATTTTATTTTATGTTAATAAAAAGTTTCACACTTTTTCATTTTGAATCGTTTGTAATTATCTTCAAATTTGGACGATATGTAAGTAAATTGATTTTTCATTGAAGTATAAATATAGGACTATTGTTAGTCCACGTATATTTCTGTTTAAAAATGTATTCTTCTGGTCTAATTGTTTTAATGTGATATTTTGGACCGCGTTTTCTATTGAACCATGTGACGAGTTGTTTACCTATTTAGATAGTAAAAAAAATATGTTTAAATTATTTTATGTTCATATTAGATTCGATCACCATGTCGGCCGATCTAAGCTGGATGATAATCAGGAACAGCAATGCGTTTTTGTCAAAGAAAACTAACATTAAGAAACCATTCAGTAAAGTATGTTAAATTGTAGTTGCCAATATAAATAATATAATATGTTTTATCTTCATAATACACGGCTTAACTTGAAATATTTTTTTTTAGGAACCAATGAACTTGACAAACTTGGCATCAAAACGCTACAATGGTCTTGTACACGATAACAGTATTGGTGTGGAATCGGCTCCTAATAACAAGGGATTCACTGTCATTACTAAAAAGCGCAAGTTGGCAGTGAGTATAAATTATGAGTATTAATTTCAATGATTATTGATTGTTATTTTTATGACGTTAATGATATTATTATTATTCTGATCATTATTTTTGATTAGGTTTGAAAAAAATTTTATTTCTCATAGACTTATTGATTTACATGTTAGCATCAAATATGCCTTCTGATAAGTGCAACTTTATTATATTTTAAAATTTGGTACTTATTGTGATAAATTGTCTATTTATCAGTTCCATAGTTGTTTGTACTTTCTGAATCAGTAGTATGATGTTAGAATTATAATACTAATATTAGATTTTAATACATATGTTAAACACAATTTCTGATTTTTCATCCATTGCCATGCATCTCCCACCGCTTTTGCTGGCTCGGTTACAATCATTAAATGTTAGGTCATCAATTAATGGCTGCCACTGGGTGGTAAGGACTGGGAGAAATTAGGTCCCCGTGCTTATGCCAGCGGCAGTCGAATGAGCGGAGCGTGTACCTTCTCTCATGAAACTAAGTATAGATTAAGATTTTTAACTAATTAATTAAAAACTTTATAATACCAATAATTTAAGTGATGAATAATGCTTCACCAACTCTGAAATAATTTGAAGTTAACATGATATTTTGAACCTGATAAATTGTTGGTATAATTGAGTACATTGAACTACAATATTAATCAATTAAAGAATAGTATCTAATATTCATTCTATAATTTTCACAATAGTATACATATTTCTTAATTTTATGTTAAAAACTGAATGTTTATCAAAAGTAAAAGTAGAGAAACTTTTAAGTCTTCTACTATTTTTTTCAAATCTTAAATTTAAAAAGATAAAACTCAAAACAAATTGCAAGCTTTTTGTGATCATTCAAAATCCAAACTTAAAATGCTTATAAAAAAAAATTGTGACTGGTTTTTAATTTTTTTGAACAGGCATTGTAACAATATATTCAAAGTATTGTATTCAATTTTCAAGCTTCATCATATAAAACTAAAATTTATTAACATATAAAAAAAATTGGAAACTGAAAATGTCCGTTAACAGCTCAAAAGAAGTCTAAATATTTTTAATTCTCTATAGTGTACAGCAAATGATAATATAAACATTCAGTGATTATTTCATGTATTTTCAGTCATCTGTTTCAAAGATTCACCAAAAACCAAAATTGTCTTTGTGTATAAATACAAGATCTTGAAGTTGAAAATCCCAACATTATTTTGACTACTTATCGTGTACAGGCATTCAAAAAAAAAAAAAAAACATGATTGTAATATCATCGCTCTTCTCAGAATTTAAAAAAACATTTCTGATGGTTGTTATATTATAAGTATACTAAATATTTAATTTTAATCTAAATATCATTTTTAAATAAAGGTTTTTAATAGTTTGGTTGTTGCTGTTGATCTGAAATTAATTTGTCAAGTATAGATTCTTTAATAAACCTCAAACAATTATATTGCTAATAGCGTGTTTTTTATTATGAATTATATTTAAACTTATTCATGATAATATTATCGCAAGAAAAACACCCCTAAAATATGTGGAAAAAATGAGACCTAAAAGTTGTGATATAATTTTATAGCCAAGTCCTTTAAAGTATAGGGATTAATGTATCATTTATGTTAAGTTAGTCTGCTAAATAATTGAACTTAGCTTGGCAACTTTTGCTAATTTACATGAATAACACGTAGATAAATAATATGAAAATCTCAATTAATGGCATCCACTTATTAACTTGTTATGTGACTGATTAACTGTATGAATTATTAGCATAGCCCAACTGATGAATATAGCTTCACCAACTCTGATACTTTTTGAAGTGAATAACTGTATAACTGATGGGTATTTATTATTTTATGTTTAAATTTTATAAGTGGCTTTGATATTCCCACTAATTTTAAATTTCTTTGAATAGACCTCATTTAATTTGTTTGTATATGTTTGCATTAATATATTATGTTGCTGTGCGGTGGACAATCTTACCAATGCATTTTTATGTTTTAAATTTAAATTAAACTCTAAATTCCTTGTACTAATCCAGATGTCTAAAATCTGTTGTACGCCGTTACAATACCTATGTAACTAGTTCTTTTATTTTATTTTTTTAGAACAAACCAGGAAAATCCCTTGTAAAAGTAAACTTTACTAGTGGTCCAAGAAGATCATTGTTCAAGTTGCGTAAATATTTACTTGGAAACAGCTACAGAAAAGACCTTATCCAGGTACTATAATTTTAAAGAAAATAAATAATAAATAACAATTCAATTAATTTATATTTTAGGCTTCTTTAAGAAGGGCTAGTGCCATTTTGGAATCACAGAAACGAGCTACATTGACCCTTAAGAAGTTGGGTAAAAGCAAGAAACCAGATGCTTAATATTTTTTAAATATATTTTTTTTTTCTTAAAAAGTACAGTTTTTTTTTATCTTCATTTTATTACTATCCTGTCTTTGTTCTGCAAAATGGACAATAACCAAATCTTAAAACTTCTACTTCATATTCATCTGAATGGAACATCTGAAAAAAAATTAATATTTTCACAAAACAAATGTTATATTTAAAATACTAAACAATATACCTTAAAACAATTTTGACAGTTTGTCACTAAAAATCCAGGTAATACATTTCTGTAGTATTTAAATTTCAATGGTTTTGGCCATTTACAAACTATTATACTAGTAGTGCTCATTGATTGTAATATAGTTTTGTTAACTTTTATGGGTTGATAAGAATTTTCTTTGTTCTAAGTAAAGAAAAAAAAATGATTATGGTAAGAAGAAGGCGATACATTTTATGCCTGGAGCATAATTATAAATTGAATTGTTATCTTAGAATTCAAGTAATCCACTCCGTTCCAAAAATAACTAAATACATTTTTAATTATGAGTCAGTACTTTAAAATTTTACCTCAAAATTCATAAGTTTATACGTAAACGGGTCAACTGATTGATCTTGACTTTCTTCATCTAAAATGAATGTATTCATTTTCTGAGATTTATTTTCAGACTGTTTTGATTTACTTTCATCGTGAGAATTTTGTATTAATTTCAATGCTTCGGTGTCTGATATATTGTCTTCCAATTGGAATTCAATCAATGGCAAAATTTCTGATGGATATAAATAACATATTAAAACTCATTAAATTATTAGTTTTGGATTCATGATTACAATTGTGTGGACTAGTAATTAAAATTTGTACTAATAACTATTGTGGAGCTGATAAGTATATATAGGGTATATCAAATATATTCATACAACAATACAAACCAAATTTTATGTGGGAAAATATAAACTTATGATTGCATGTGATACATGTTTGAACCACTGGAGAATTATAAGTCAAACAACGATAACACATCGATAAAAGATCTTCATTGTCATGAAATGGCTTTGCACGAATACTCAATGAAGCAAGATCTACATAATCCTTGAGTTATATAATGATAATAAAAATTATATTTTATTGGTATTAAGAATGTAAGTAAAAAATACTACTTGATATTCAGAAGGAATTCTCAGCTGTTGTAATTTTGTTAATATTTGTCTTGCTAACTTAAATGCTCTCATGGTAAGTGCTTGTTTTGATAATGAATATAATATGGCACTATAACATGTAACAGTTGCATTAAAATATTTGCTTAGGTAATTATTTTGTAAATTCAAGTTAAATTTTCACTCTAGTCTTAAATCGAACTTACTAAACGATAGTCATCCATCAGAACACTGTCCCCCCTACAGCTCCTCCCATAACTCATGCTAAGGTAGCCTATAATCAATTCTCACACCCTAATTCCACTCCACCAACTGAGGATACCTCGCCATCTGCAGAAACAAATCTATCTCATCTAATGTCAAGTTTCTTTTCAAAACTAATGATTCCGTTAATTTCCCTACTCAGTAGTTTCCGGTCTACTAGACAAATTCAAATAAGTTCTTCAGCAACAAATAACTCACTCTTAATTTTAATTCAACGCAAATGGCCTCAAAAACCACACAAACTGTTATCCACAACAGGCAAATAGATATAGCAATTATAACTGAAACCCATTTTACTATATACTCGCATATTTTTATCCCTGGATATACACTTAAAATCAACCACCCCGACAAAACTGCACATGGTGGAGTTGCCATTTTAATCAAAACTTATATTATCAGCTTCCTACTTCAGTTATGATCATATCCAATCTTGCTCAATTTTAATTAAATTGTATAAAATCCCAATTACTATAGGACATAGGTTCATTCTACTCCACTCCTCGACGCAAAATATTAAATAACATGAGCAATACTTAACGATTATTTCAATACAATGAAAACAAATTTCATTATCGGTGGGGATTACAACGTCAAACATCAGAGTTTGGATTGCCGCATCAACAACCCTCGTGGTATTGTACTATACAACCTTGCAAATGAAAGGCATATCAATGTTCTTCCCCTCCCCCGGGTCCTACATAATGGCGAACAGCGCCAAATGAGAACCATGACATCCTGGACATTTTTGCTGCCAAAATTCCCAGCAACTTGCATTGTTTCACTGACAATATCCTCCATCTAAACTCAGAACACTCTTCAGTTCTACTCACTATCGTTGCCACTACATTAACATGTGTCGAACCCCCTAAACTATTTACCACCCAAACTGAACATAAAAAATTCCATGACATAATAAATGAAAAAATTTATCTAAAAATTAAAATAAAAACTACCTCAGATATTGACGAATCCGTTAACAATTTAACAACATACAGCAGGCCGTGTGGACTTCTACAAAATCTGATAAAACCTTTAGCTCAATCAAAAATAACACAAATTCTAATTACTTCCTACTTCCAGAAGAAATTCAAAGTTTAATTACTGAAAAACGTAGGGCAAGAGCAAGTTATCAATACTCCCACTTCCATCCCACAAATCCGCCTAGAACAAACTTGCAAATTCTTTGAAAAAAATCCTTGCTAAACATAAAGCTAATAACTTTGAAAAAAAACTACACCAACTGTCAGCTCCAACTGGTAGTCTCTGGAGAGAAACCAAACAACTACTAAAATTTAAATCCGTCTCAACACCATTAAAAAAAGTCAACAACACCCTAGGTATTACTGACTCAGAAAAAACAATCTTGTTTCAATTACACTTATCAAATATCTTCCAACCTGATGCTAATAGATTTGACCACAACATTTAGACAATGTTAAAATATACCTTGACTCTCCGTTACCTTATGGGCCTCCAATAAAATTTGTCACCCCCAAAGAAGTGAAAAACAGAATTCTGAAATATCCAAATAAAAAATCTCCCGATTTCAATCTAATAACAGCTGAAGTTACAAAATGCTTACCAACGAAAGCCATAGTCCTTTAACATATATAATAAACGCAATACTACGATTATCATATTTCCCTTCCTTATGGAAATTTTCTCAAATTGTAATGTTTGCTAAATCTAACAAACCTCAAGACTCACCTGACTCTTACAGATCTATAAGTCTCTTACCTTTTTTTTCAAAAATCTGTGAAAGACTAACTCTACAAAGAATGTCTTCCCACATCAACAATAATATCATCTCAATTCGGCTTTAGGGCCAAACACAGCACAATCCACCAAGTACATAGAGTAGTAGACACCATCTCAACTTCACTCGAACGAAAACAATATTGCTCCTGTGTCTTCCTTGATATCTCTTAGGCATTCAACCGTGTCTGGCATGACGGTCTCCTCTTCAAACTTTAAAATTGCCTCCTATCACCTCTATTTCTGTTAATTAAATCTTACCTAACAGAATAAACAGATAGATACTTTCAAACTCGCTTTGGCTTGTGCATCTCAGAAATGGCTCTAATCCAAGCAGGAGTACCTCAAGGTGGTATCCTACCTCCCCTTCTATTTAATATATATGCCTCAGACCAGCCCATAACACAAGACACCCTTGTAGCTGATTTCGCAGATGATAAAGCAATAATGGCAATACATGAAAATCATTTAATTGCCTCGGCCAATCTCCAAATACACTTAGACCTTATTTCGAAATGGTACTCCAGATGGAGAATAAAACTAAATCACAACCAGTCGGTGCACACGACCTTTATGCTAAAACACGGAATTTTTTCATATGTATCTGTGGACAACATACATATAAATAACCACCGTTAAATACTTAGGGTTGACCCTTGACAAAAGACTAACTTGGAAACAGCACATACGGTCCAAAAGACTAATTTTAAATTAGTCTTTAAATTAACTCGCACCCTCAAACACCTCTTATCAAAAAATAAATCCACTAAATTAGAAACTAAACTACTTATGTATAAGTCATTACTAAAACCCATTTGGACTTACGGATTACAATTGTGGGGGTCGGCCAAAAAAACCAATATTAATTAAAATCCAGGCTTCCAGAACATCACTATACGCAGAATAGCAAATGCATCACCGTATGTATCCAATCTAACCCTCCACAATGACATGCGCATGAAAACAATTGAAGAAGAATCGGTAATTTATTACAAGTGATTCTTTTCACACCTAGCCAACCAAAACTAAAAAAATCCAGTAATCAGGAATCTAAATACTGTAACTTTGCCCGAAGCTCCTCGAAGTTGTCTGAAAAAGAGATGGTGCAGTGATCTTCCAATCTTATAACTCCTAACAATCTTATACCTTGCTTACACACTTCACTCTTCCTCACCACTAAGTCATAGATTGACATAATCTGAGCTCATGCTAAGTGTTGCTAATGGTCGACTTTTTACCCCCGTATTATCCTGCTTGTTTACTCTCTTCAAATACGCTTATTGTGCTCTTATTGTATAATTCTTTTTTTCAAAAAAAAATGTTTGGCATAACTTTTGAATTATTAAATAGGTATTCAAAAGCTACTTGATGGATACATAATTTAATATTGTTTTCTTAAAATTAAATAACTTACAATTTTGAAACTCCTTTTAGATGTATATTTTTTGTTTCATTCATTAGAAATCGTGATATATTGAATAACGTTTCTGGTTGATATGACATAAAAGGATCCTCCTGCAAATAACAAGGTGCAGACAATTCAAAATATCACATTGAGTATATTAAAGGAAGTAAGAAGATGTGAGTTCATAATTGTACAAACCATGTAGCGGTGAATAGCATTGTACGCATAATATATTGAAGCATACTTGTCATACAAATTGTATTGGTTTATCATTTTATCATTTTGTGAATTTTCATTACTTAAATAAATAAATTTTTGTTAAACATATAGTCTTTGAATTTTATATCAAACAAAGGTTAGATAGTATTTACCTATTTGAAGCAATATTTAAATATTGTCTACTTAATAACCAATAATAATGACCAGCATCTTGAAAACGTTGTTCGTCAACAGCATTTTCAGTTAACATCTGTAATACCTGGAATGCACGTTCTGGTCGGCCACCTTTAAGAAAAGCTAAATAACAAAATAAAATGATTTACAATAGAAGTACAATATGATATAATAAGACTATAGACTGAATACCTTTTTGTGCTTCAACAAATTTATCATTTTCTGCCAGCCATTCAGCATAAGGTAAATATACTAGAGGAGCAAAAATTGGGTTTTTTTCAACTAGGGCAAAGGCTTGATCCCAATTATGTGCCTCTACATGTAAAGATACCATGTCAGGTCCCATATCCTTGCCCAATTTAGCATAAATTTCAACAGCACTTTCTGTATCACCTAGTTTACGAAGCTCATCACCAATTCTACTTAGAACTGTTTCTTCAGCTTTGTCAGTGTGACGTCCAAGTTCTAACAGCCTATAAAATGTAGAATATGGTTAGTTGTTATATGTAAAATTCAATAATATACAAAATTACATATGTGTCCAGCAATTATGAACCATAATATCAATAGAACGGTCAAATTCTTCAGCTGAAATGTATAGTTCTGCTGCTACTTTATGTTCATCAATACTCATAGCCCATTCAGCACGTTTTATAAGTAGTTCTTTATTTCACCGGCCGTATTTGATCCATAAATTCCTAAGACCCAGTCAGTTAATCAATTTTTTATTAGAAATCAATAATTTAACAATATAATGTATAATACTTGTGCCTTCAAATCAAACATTCTCAAATTCGGTATACATGGTAAAAAGCTTTATGTTCAAACCCCCATTTTGATAAATTCTAGCCGCTTCTTTGAACTTTCTTTCATAGGCAAGTATCAGCTAGCACGACAGTGTTTGTCTTTATCATTGTGTGCCCTTTTTCCTTTTAAATTTTTAAAAATTCTCATACAGCCGTTAAATTTATATTATATACTTAAGAGGTAATCTAGGGACAAATGGACATAGTCAGTTGGATGTAAAACAAATATAATAAACAATCAATAAAAATATAAGAAGTAAAAATTTAAAACACAATCTCTGAGATCTTGCTGAATGGAAAGGTTGGAGACATAAGGTGGAGCATTAAATAGTTTCCTTAGCGCTATGTTTTGGAAGGTTTGTTTTTGTTGAGTTTGATATTTTTGCATTACCCCAGAGTTGTACGCCATATTTCCAGATGGGCTTAATTAGAGATTTGTAAATTAGGAGTTTAGTTTTAACATGTGTGTATTTATTGTTATCGAAAAAAGTTTTTAACAGGTGCAGCCATAGGTTTAAATTTTGTCTTTTAGATCTAAGGTGGGGAGCCCAGGTAAGTGTGCGATCAAATGTAAGTCCTAGATATTTGACTGTAGAAGAAGTAGGAATTTGAGTGCCACAAATAGATACCTCAGGGCAAGGAGAGAGATGAAGTGTGAATGTTGTGTGGATAGACTTAGACTGGTTAATTTTGAACCGCCACTTGGTATACCAGTCTTCAATAAGGGTTAGGTGATTCTGAAGAAGGTGTGAGGCTATTTCCGGATTAGAATTTATAGATATTATTGCCGTATCGTCTGCATAATCAGCAACTAGAGTGTTTAGTGTAGTAAGCTGATCAGCAGCATAAATATTATAAAGTACAAGAGAGAGTATGCCCCCTTGTGGAACACCGGCTGAAATATAGTTGAGTGTGCATTACCGAATCTGATTTGAAAATGATGGTTGGATATAAAACACAACATGAAAAAAAAAAAATATTTATTATAAGATGATCAATAGAACACTAAAATATTAAAATTAATTACCTATTTAATATTAATTGAAATATTTTTGGTGTTTCTACATAAAATTATATTTTAGTTATAAATTATAGAACCATTGATAATGTTCATAGTATAACTTATGCTATTGTATTGTATCGTCCTACGTCCATTTGTCCCTATTTGTTTAAGAGGATATCAGAGAACCATTTGTTTCTTCTTTCTAAAACAACCACAACATGGACAATTTGTATTTAGCAAAACCAAACAGATCTTGTATGGTGAATTGAGCTATTATTAATTATTATGATTTTGAAAGTTGGCTTTATTTATTTCTTTTACAAAAACTTCAATTTTTCTTTTAGCGTTTTTAAATTATAATATTTTACATACTCATAATATGCATACAAATTGAAATAACTTAATAAAAAATGTATAATAAATAACCAATATAAAAACACAGATAATGTTCTTAAAGTTAAGTTTGATAAAAGGTCGATTTCCCTCAAATAGTAAAGCAATAACACATGGTTGGATATTTAGACCTGCTGAATGCACATTTTCCATGTTGCGCAAATTACAAAAAGAAAGCAAATACTTAGTGCATTATTGAAAAAAGGGGGATGAGCATGCTTGGTGAATCACCTTGTATGTAAAAAAAAATTGAGTTACAAATGTATTTACTTCGTATAGTGTAATTAGCTCCAAGTATTTTAATTCATTAATATTAGCAAAAGCTTTCTTGGCAATTAAGAAATCAAAATGATCTAAGGCTTCTCTAGCTAATATTTTCCAATCAGTATCAGTGACATTAAGACAGGCAATTTGATATGCTTTGCTAAAAAATAAGCAAATTATAAATTAATAACATTTTGATTATTTTTATTCACAAACAATTTTTACATACCTAAAATATTTTTTTTCTAAATATTGATATAATGGAACTGATAATGCAACTTCAATAACAGATACTATAGAATCATTTAGAGAAAATATTTTAGAACCCCACATGCCAATTAACATGTCCTATAATATTTATAGCATATTATTAGATTATATCAATTTGATTTAAATTTTTTACTAATTAAATTAAATTATTACTATGATACGTTGCTGATGAGCTGGAAATTCATCAACTTTGATATTAAATATATGTTTACCCGAAAAACATGCCATCTCTGAAAATTTTGAATTCCAAACCACACTTGTAATATCAGACTCCTAAAACACATAATATATTATTTTAAGTTTGAAAATTATACTTTAGTAGATTTACTTGAAAAAGAAGCTTTTTTGATTTCATATCAAAAAATGAACACACGTTTTCATCATCAACAATAGCTGCTTTGTCCATTGATATATTAACATCGAAACAACGGACACTTTTAGTCACATTAAATAATTGTTGCACAACTAAACTATTAACGCGTAACATTAAGACCTAGTATATAATAAATTTGTTAATACCTAAATTAAATAATAAAAACCCCAAAATTATAAAATACTTGTCCGTTATGTAATCCAACTAAAATTTGTTCTTTGCCAGGAGAACCTCCAATAACTTTTAAATATTTCACAACAGAATTCATTGTCCATTCACGTTCATATATACCAGCTAGTGATAAACATTGAAGTCTTGTTTCCTAAAAATTTAAATTAGTAACAATTTATATTTTATTTTTCTAAAAACGTGTTTAAATCTCCTTACTTGACACAAAACTAAATTATTTGAACAAACTACAAGTAGATTACAAACAGCATTTTCAGCTAATTTTTCTTTGATCCTATAGTGCATTTCAGATGTTTGAATTAAAGATGATTCATATACCACAATTTTTGATGGTAATTGAACCTGAATGAAGTTAATTGAGAATGATGAATGCATACACAAAATCAGGGGCGTCCCTGAGAGGACAACCACAGCCCTACCATAAGTCGTGGTATGTTCTGTTTTTGCTCATAGATAAATATATTTAAAAAATTTTGTTAATTGTTTCTATACTCATTATAGCGTACAAACCAATAAACATAGAGATTATATAAGAATATAGGTTTTAAGGTTCTTGGTTTAGCAAAGTGGTTTTCAAGAGTAAAATTGTTTTGCCCCTCTCCCGTGGAATCAACCTGAAGACGCCCCTGCACAAAATCTATTAAATATTTTTAAATACAATAAACTTCAACTTACAGCTAATCGATCTCTATAAATTGCAATTTTTTTAATCAAATCTCTGCATTTTATTCGCACTTTTTTGTTTGTAACTAAATCTTGAACAACAACATCTGTCATATTTTCCCTAATGAATAAAAATAAAAATTATTAATTAATATTAATAAAATGTTTACATTTAAACTAAGTAAAAGCATTGTTAGTCAGTGGAAATCAAGAAACAAACAAAATTATCAACAGTGCCATTTATTTCAACAATAATAGGTGACTTCAATCACATCAAGATATTATAGTAATGCATTTAAGACTTTGTGTACCATAACCTTATAAATGTATGTTGTACAACCGTGCAGTTACAAAAATCTGTAACTTTAGTACCTGTATGCATATTTTTCTTGATAAAGTCCATGAATTACACTGAACTCGATTTTGTAATACGCTAATGTTCCATCTTGACAACCTAACGCCTATTAATATAGATAGTTATAACTTGTATTTAAATGTCTATACTCTATATATATCAAACAACATAACTATTCAATTTTTGAAATATCACAAATTTAAATAGTTTGGAAATTGTATATATTTTTAAATTATGGCTGTAAATATTAATACTAAAACTTGAATATATTTTTTTTTAAATTAAACAAAAAAAAACATTTTCTATAATCATTAACTATTGAAATATTAAGTATAAACAAAACACATAACATAAATTGCTATAAGACACTAATATTGTGTCTAAGATATTAAACAAATTTTATATTTTTTTTTAAATTAAAATCATGTATTCAGTAAACAATTATAAATAATAACATTGAGGAATTTATGCAATACAAAATAGGGTTAAGAATATTTTAGTCACTTAATTACATCTTAAGGATGTCTTACAACTCCTTACTTACCACTAATTTTAAATAAAAATTATATATAACTAAATGAAATCAATTGTTTATTCAAAGAAACTTACTACATATTTTGAATGTGGGTGCACAGAAGAGGCCCAAATCCAACTGTGCTTGTCTTCAAATTCACTCAATCTTATTCCATCAATAGAAAATATGGAGCATTTTCCTTTACAACCACCAATTAATAAATAGGAATCATTACTTAGGGTTTTAATTGTTAAAGCTTCTATATGTATGTTTTTATTCTTTAAAGTCTACAAAAATATTTTGTATGTTTAAGGTATAGGTATCAAGTGTTAAGTGAAAATTGTGTAATTAATTACTTCAGAACCATTTTTATTATAATGATATTTTTGTCCCCAATCAGTAATGCATAATATTTCATCTTCATTATACCTAGAAGTTACAACGTGCATATAAATATAAAAAAAATATAATGTAAAATAATTGATTTCAATAAGTACCTAGATGATAACCACACAATTGCCCAAACCGATTGTCCATCAGATAGCTCAATATTTGCAACTTCTTCTCCGCTTCGATTACGTAAGGAAATACATCCATTATCACACCCAAGGGCTAATGATTGGCCATCTGTTGACCAGGCACATGTATTTATTTTAAACGAGATTTTATATTTTTGAACAGATTTTTGTTCTAAGGAGTATAATCCAAATTCCATAGAACTGCAACTTGCTAAGTGATGAGTAATTGAATTGAAATCCATGCACTGAACTGTGTCATTGTGGCTGGAAAAAAATTATAAAATGCAGTAAACAATTATAAAAACAAAACACAATGATTACTTGTATTTTCCAACTGGTTCAAATTTAGATGACCAAAGAATAACTGATTTATCTGCTGAGCCGGAAGCAAAATATTTGCCATTTTTAGCATTTGTCAAACAAATAACGTTTTCTTTGTGTCCTAAAAGTTTAAATCTATGTTTTATGGTAAATAATACATTATCATTTTATGGTATAAGTTTTTATTTTTTTTTTTATTTTAGTGGCCCTTAGGGCCAAACACAATCAAATGCTTGAAATACGTAAAAAAGCGTAAGTGCAGTATAATTTTTTTTCAAGAGTAGGAAATTGCATCTACTATTTGATGTACTTTGTGAGTGGTCGAATGCGAGGTACGAAACCCAAATTGAGAATCAGGGAGGATAATATGTTTTTCTGCGATGATTGGAATGATACATTTTAGCAGAAGTTTTTCTAGGACTTTTTCAAAGAAGGGTAGTAGACTTATTTGTCTGTAGGATAAGGTAGAATCAGGAGGTTTAATTGGCTTTTAGATCATGATTATATTTTCAAAGAAATGGAAAGTATGATAGTCTAAGTATGGAAGAGTTAGGTCTAAGTATTGAAGTACCTAACCCGGGTTCGATTCCCGGTCTGGAGGCTATAAAATAAATGTACATGGCTTATTATATAACATATTATATTATGGAACAAAATATATAATGTCAAAATTCAAGGTATTTAATTTTACCTTTTAAAGTATGTAAAAGATGTCCATCAATAGATCTATAGAGAAAGACATCATGACCTGCCGTTATAAGTAATTGGGAACCATCAATATTGAAGCAAATACTGTAAATACTATATGTATATAAAAAAAATTCATTAGCAATATTTTATTTGGAACCTATTCAATTTGAGACATTTTTTATTCTTTAGAACAAATAAAATGTTACCATTGTTGAATTTTATCTTTATCTTGTATTTTATGAAGCCAAATGGGAATACAATGCATCTTTGACTATCTAGAAATCGTAAATAATTAATCTAATTGTATAATAAGAAATTACACAAACTTATACTTGTAAAATATTATTTAAATAACTTATTGGAAAAAATGAATCCAAATATATTATACATCATAAACCATACATGAATGTTTAATAATTTAGACAAAATTTAAAAAAGTTATTGCCTGTTAGCCATACACTACTATATAATATTATGTTAGCTTTTAAGAATACCGAATTTTGAGATTGATTAGTTTAAAATTGTCAACAAATTCAACTATCCACAACCATACAAATTAAACCATATTGTTGGGTATCATAGATAAAGATAATAAAATATATCGTGATATGACCACAGAATCATGACGAAATAACATGTGATTACATATGTGTTAAACACATAGATGCGAAGTTTGTATTCATTATGCAGTCACAAAAAAAAATTGATGACTTTTTAACTTTGTTATTTCAAAGCATATGAAAATTCAGAAAAATCAATGTTTGGCAATTTAATGATGCCACAACATGAATTTTATGATTATATAGATGAGTTAGAAAACATTTTTATAAATAGGTTTCCACAATTATCTATTGAAAATGAAGTAGGTATTAAGTTAAAGTTAAGTATGACTAATGTTGTATTTCGACATCCGTGTCCACTATTTAATAAAGAGTATTTAATTAATTATTAGGAATTTAATATCAGAAAAACAAAAAAAATAGAAAATTGTGTATATTAAATCATTTATAAATAAATTAGTAAGAAAGACTTTTGTATTAAAATTTTGTTCTTAATTATGTTTATAATTTATAATATGTATTTATTTTTAATTGTTTATTGTAAAAATTGTAAGTTATTTGTAATTTACCTGCATTCTAACATTTTTAAATTGTTTAATTTTTATGTGTTTGTATTGTGATAAATTTAAATTGATACATTTTGAGACAACAATTTGCATATTTTACTTTTCTATTACTTTTACCAAAGTACAATATTATGAGTATTGAGACATTGAGTTGCAATTGAAAAGTTCACTGAGCTTTATTCAATAATTCAAATTTCAATATTATGGTATGTATATACAATAAATTAGCATTGATATTTGTGGTCACACTGATTTGGGAGCCAACCAATCAGAGCACCTTGTTCATTTTTTACGTTGCAGCATTGGAAGTGCACAATCTGTTTTCATATAATCTCTTTGTGGTTTAAACTTGAAAGGGTAATTGTGTAAACAAAACAACGTGGTTACAAAATATATTTGTTATTTTGTTATTATTGTCTATTTGTTTGATGTAAATGTAATTTAAACGTAGAATTGTTATATTAACAAATTAAAAATTTTAGTTCTGTATAGCATAGATGAATAGTAATTTTATTATAGTCACCAGTCAATAATTACATAAAAATAGTGAGTTATTGCTTATTTAAAGCTTATAATTTGGAATTTATACATGTTTTTACAATTTTACCTATATAGGTTTATATCTAATATTTTTAAGACTAAGATTTTAGGTGAATATAAATAAGTCATCATGGGCAAAAATAAAAAAAAAGGAGCATCCCGCATTGAAAGGGCAACTGCTAAAAAAGAAAAAAAGATAGCTCAAAGGATCAAAAAGGATATTGGAAAAATTGGAGAGGTAAGTATATTTGCTGAATAATATTTTATTAAAAATTAGGGGTAGGTCTAGTACAAAAAAAATCATTTTAGTGACTTATTTTAGTTTCTAAAACATGAAATAGTCAACTAGTTATTATGATCAACTCTTCCATTTTTAATCTACCATTGAGTTTTGGTTGATAAAATAATAAATATAAATTAACTTAATTCTTAGTAAAATAAGAATATGTTCATGGCCAGTCTGTCCCAGGGTACTATAACCAAGTAGCATCCCGGCCTTGATTACCACTGTCTGACCATTTCCTTAGTTGAACTTCTATTTTAATATAAATCTTTCCTAATTTTACTTCAGTTTAAAAAAAAATTGACAACTTATGTATTTCCACTAGTCTAAAACTATGGTGTAAAAATAAATTTGCTGAAAATATTACTGTGGAAGTTACAGCCTTCAAAAGTTTGCGATTTTACGTTTTTACGCATGAGCGCAACACTACTATAATGCCCCGCGGAGGACCTTAAGATTTTTATATTAAAAGTTACGAGTCCTTATGCATAGTCAAGTGGTCGCTAAACTAGAGTTATGCCAAAAAAATAGGGCCCCTAAATAATTTTGCACCCTGGACCAAAAATAACCAGTCCACCCATGGATATGTTTATACATGACAAAAAGAATTAATTATTTTTATTATTCTGTCATGGGTCTAACTTATGTTTAATTTTATACTAAATTTTTTTTGTTTAAATTGTTTTTTAGCCTGAGGTATCTACTATAGTGGCTCATATTGAGGCTCAGAACAAGGCAAAAATTAAAGTGACTGAAACAAAAATTGATAATCCTTCAAGGAGATCAAATTTTACATTTCTTACACATCCATATAAAGATGAAATTATTCTATTTGGCGGAGAATTCCATAATGGTAAAAATGTAAGTAGAAAATAGGATTTTCTAATTCAAGTTCTACTTTAAATTACCTTTTTTTCCGTAGTAAGTACTAACTAATTATTAAATTATTATGTAAATTGTTCTATTAAAGATTATTTTATTTAGAGCTGACTAGTTATCTAACTTATCCTCTTCTGACGGTAGCCTCTGGATTAGTCTTTAACTCTTAAAATATAAATCTAGTTAACCACCACTAACCAAAATTGACAATTCTATTGCTATAACTGATGAGGACAAGGCTGAGACTTTTCGTCGACATCTATTGGAGATATTTAAGCCACATACCGACATAAATAACCCAAATCTCACCTCTAAGATACTCCAGTACTTAGATTGTCCCATGCCTCTTGATCTCCCTGAAAAGTGTTTTACACCAAATGAACTAAAAACTGCAATACAAAAATATTCTACCAAAAAACGCCATTCTTTGATCTAATTACTGCAGAAGTTGCTAGATGTCTTCCAAAAAAAAAGCTATCCTATTCCTTACCTATTTATTTAATGCAACCTTACAACTCTCATACTTCTGTGGAAATTTTCAAACATAGTCCTGATTCCTAAACCAGGCAAACCACCTGATCTGCTTTCCTCGTACAGACCAATAAGTCTGTTACCTTTTCTAAGTAAGCTATTAGAAAGATAAATACTTACAAGGCTATTACCTTACATTTCTATGAGCAAGATATTACCTGACTCGCAATTTGGTTTTCGCTCAGCGCAAAGTACATAGATTAGTTGACTCAATCTCGTGTTCCCTAGAAAAAAAGTATTACTGCTAACTTACTAAAAACTTACTAAAAAAGTATTCTTGACATTAGCCAAGCGTTTGATAGAGTTTGGTATGAAGGATTAGTTTTTAACACGTTCATTGTGGACAACGCTAAATGGTGTCATTATACATAGTTTGCATATGCTGAATGCCATTCCTCTTGTTGTTAAATGCACTATAATTTGGTCAGATTTACGATTAAACTTTTTGTTTTTCGTCAGTCTTCTATAAGCGTTTTTCCATAAACAAGTGCAAACAGTACACTGATATTTTAATTTTTCAATTTTTAGGAATTTTTTTTTTAAAACTCCAATTTTTTCAGCGACACGATTAAGTATACCCAAATACGATACACAGCGAAAGTGTTAAACTAAAAAAAAATTCTCTCTCCCTGTTTATTTTTATTAGTTAAGTCTTATTTAAGTGATCGTCATTTCCAAATCCAGTTTGGTTCCTCAATACCTAACCTAACCTAAATTGAGAAAATCTTAGCTGGTGTTTCCCAGGGTGGAACCTCTCTCCCTTTCTTTTTAATATCTATACTTCTGATCAACCTATCTCCCAAAATTACTATTGTAGCTGATTACGCGGATGACAAAGTTATCATATCATTTGACAAAATCCCTAATTCTGCCTCAGCAAATCTTCAAACTCATCTCAACCTAATGTCTGAGTGGTACACCGATTGGCGCATTAAACCTAATCCCAAAAGTCAGTACATACAACATTCACTCTATGTCACTCCATTTGTCCTAATGTCTATTAACATAACATACTTATTCCCACATCTGACACAGTTAGATATCTAGGACTTATTTGGATAAGCGCCTCACTTGGAATAGCCATATCCGTATAAAGAGACTTGCATTAAATGCCCGTCTTCAATAATAAATTTATTTTAAAAAAGGTGCTCTGCTGTACAGTAAAGGTACTGCAATATTTAAAAAATAAATAAAGTTAACTTTAAACTTACATTTTTCTAAATTAACATAACTTAACAAGTTAAAAAAAAAAAACTTGCCCAGTTTTGTTAAAAAGGAGCTGGCGCCGTGACTTGTTAGGGAACTAATATCAAAGAAGAAAAAAAATCAGTATAGGCATTTAATATATAGTTATATTCATACAACATCTGTGCCACTGGTAGGTGCCTTCTTATTCACATACTCATGTATTGTAAACCTTATCAAATATGCTAATTGTGCATAAATGTACAGATTGGTATATATTATTGTGTAAAATATAAAAAAAAAATAGAGTTGACTATATTACTAGTATTTAATACATAATATGTAGTACATAAAGTTATGATAATAAAACCAAAAGTTACATATTGTCATATACTTCATCATTGAGTAGGAGTAAACAATTGAATGGATTATAGAATTGATGTGTTACATTTGAATACAATGATAAATCATTGCTCATAAAAACTAATTCTAAATGAGGACTTTGTGTTAGCCTCTATTTCTAAGGATATTTTAATTTTTTTTATATTAGTATCACTAATAGTGAATAAAGTTGGATACTTAGATATATGTTGATCTATTTTGATCAAAATAGTTCCATGGGAAATCGTTGTGCCTATGTGTTTTAATAAACAAAAATACAGAAATATAAAGAACCTTTCATTACATTTTCAAGCTTTAGTTGTTTAAGAGAATGTCACACCCGCATGTGTTGTCTTGGTCTTACAAATGTACAACATAGCAAAAACTGTTTTGGGATAACTTTTCTCACACCATATTTGTTGTAGAACTACCAAATTTCACAACACGTAAAGCAGAACTTTATGTGTGCAACCGCTTGCTTTTTTTTTTAATAGCTCTATCCAATAATTTTTTATAAACAAATGAAAAAAAACCAAGTGTTTGGAAGCAAATAGCTTTTCTTGTATTTTTAATATCTATTATACGGGCACGCTGTTGCATGGATAATTTTCCACCCTATATGTTCAGAAATTTTGGAGCCACTACTACAAACATAGAAAGATAAAAGTTGTCCCCCGCAAAACATATTTTGCTATGTTTTACGGTGACAACACATGTGGGTGAGACATCCTCTTAAATTTAAAATTGTATTAATTTTTAAGTACAAAATAATATGCATTTTTTTGTTATCTTGAGAAATTTGTCAAATTTTGAAGTTTAAACTCTTAAAAAAAATGTTGCATAATATATATTCTAAATATTTTTTAAGTATTACAATTAAAACTTATGATGATCCTTAACAACATTCTTAGAGTAAAACTAAAAAATTAAGTCAGAAATTCATCTTCAATTAATATTATATTGTTATGCTTATAAAATATTGTGACAACAAATTTAAAAATTAATAATAGTAGAAATTTTACTATTACAAAATTTGTTGAAAGCAACATAAAAAAAGGTGGGCAAGTGGGTGTCGCTCTGCTGTACAGTAGGTTACAAGTGGGTCATTGTATAATGGATGGTATTAAATTTGAATTCAATGATATAATATCATTGTATAAGAAAAACGATTCTGAGCGGAGACGGTATGTCCTTCTAGGTATAAGACATATTATATACATATCTATGGTATTAAAAAAAATTGACCTATAATGAATTCCAAATTAATCATACCACAATATCCATTAGGTACTTATAACGCGTTATACACCAACAACAAACCCTGATACTATCATAGATATATATAGTAGATTACTTTAGAAATTTCAAGTACCCATGAATAATATTATATAATCACAACAAAATAACTAAAATCGTAATTCTTGGTTTAAATATGAAATTTTGTCTAAACTTGAAATTAAAATGTCTGTAAAAAATAACTGTGTTTATATATTTTTTAGATTTTTTGGTTACAGTATGAATTATTTAAGAGAATCTTTGTTTTAAATTTTCAACTCTTAGTTATAAAAACTGAACATTTTATAATTTTTTAATTCCAACGATTGATTATTTTCGAGATTTTGATAAATTTTGTCAAAATTCCAACTTTAAATGCTTATAAAAAAAAATCGTGCCTATGTATTTTTAATATTTTTCAACTGATATTGTAACAATATATCAGGAGCCTTGTATTAAATTTTTACACTTTTTGGCCCAACAGATAAAACTTTATTGATATTTATAGAAAAAAAAACTAAAAAAAATTGAAAGCTGTAAATGTCCATAAACAGCTCAAAAAGAGTCAAAATATTTTCAAAATTGTATGGTGTATAGGAAATAAAAATATAAACATTCAGTGAAATTTTCATGTATCTACAGTTATTCGTTTTTGAATTACAACAAAATAAGGAAATCGCTACATGAGAAATCGAGTGAATATTCAATGTTGTAAAAATTTGAATTTCAAACGCTCATAAAAATTTAATTTGACTGTCCGGTAGAGATTTTTTTATTGATAAAGGTAGATAATCTTATAAGGAATCTTGTGTTTCATTTTCAAATCTTAGATTTAAAAAGAAAAATTTTTACGAATTCTTAACTCAAAATAATTTGCTAATTTTCGTGATTTTTCCATATTTTGTCAATTTTTGAACTTTAAATGCTTATAAAAAAAAATTGTGACTAAGGATTTTTAATATTTTTCATCTGCCTTTGAAACAACATATTAGGAGCCTTCTATTAAATTTTCAAGCTTTCGCAACCAACAAATAAAATTTTATTGATATTTCTAGAAAAAAAACTAAAAAAAAAATGAAAAATGAAAATGTCCCTAAACAGTTCAAAATAAATCAAAATATTTTGAAAATGTTATCGTGTATAGAAAATGCAAATATAAACAACCAGTGAAAATTTCATGTATCTACGGTCATTTGTTTTAAAGTTACACCAAAAACCAAATTCGATTTTTTGGAAAATCGATTTTGCGTAAAAATTCCCGTTTTTCCTTAATTTTTATGTTGTTTTTCCCGGCGCTTGTGAAAACTACTGGAAAATATTTACTTTTGACCCCCCAAAGTACCAACTAGATTCACTTTCCTATCAGAAAAGGTACTATTGAAGAAAATCGAAGCACTTTTACTGTCCCAAAACGTGATGACAGACACAAAAATATAAAAATATAAAAATATAAAAATATAAAAATATAAAAATATAAAAACATACATCATTGTAAAACCAATACATTCATCGCTCCGCTCAGAATCTAAAATATATTATTGTAATACTTATACATTTATCGTTCTGCTCAAAATGATTTAATGTACTATGCTTTTAAAACTGAAATTTAACCTAGGGTTACATATTTGAACACTTGATTACTCATCACATTTTTTTGCAGACCATAATGTACAACGATTTAATATTTTATAATATAAGTAATAATACATGGACGTTAGTGGATGCTCCTGGTGCACCACCTTCTAGATCATCTCACTCTGCAGTAAGTGTTGCTGCAGATAATGGACAGTTGTGGATTTTTGGCGGAGAATTCGCTAGCCCTTCAGAGTCTCAATTTTATCATTATAATGATTTATGGGTTTTTGGACTAAAGAATCGAAATTGGACAAAAGTTATGTAAGTTATTACTATTAGTAAGATATTTAGGTTCAATTATAGTCTTAGTAAAATCGATGGTGCTTCATTTTCAAGAAAATTTTAATTAGGATCAAAAAAATTCAGGAAAATTTTTGTCAGGAATGCTTTTTGATAGGAACTAATATTAACTGGAAATAACTTCTTAGTAAAATTAAATTTTGGAAAAGTATACACAAGAGTTCAAAATTAAGAAACTAATTACATAGGAAAATATTACCCAAGAAAATAATCGACGGGTATTTAAATATTATGAAATATTTACATGTAAATGTAATATTCAGGAATAATGTTTTCCTGTGTAAAATATTTTCCCGGTTTTGAAATTCCTTATTAATATTTTCCAACATAAATATTTTTCTGATTTTAAAATTTCTATAAATTATATTCCCAAATTTATTTTCCTAGGTTTTAAATTCTTGGTTTTTATGAACTAATTTCAAAAATTTTATTTTCCTGATTCTTAATTTCCCGGTGAAGTTGTTCCCTTGTAATATTTTCCTACAAATTAATGTTGCTGTTAATTATTTCCATTCATAAATTTTCCTATGAATTAAAGGATTATGAATTAATTTACTATTGTTCCCTCGTATTTTACTTTCCCGTTTTTTTCATTCCTCTATATAATTTTTCAGGATTTTATAGTCCTTCGTAAAATCTAGTTTATTGCATTGCTTAGAATTTAAATTTTTCATACTTCAAAGAACGATTGAAAAAATAAATTTGGTGTGTCAGATTTAGTTTAAAAATAATATCCATTTGAAATCCATTAATTTATAATTTCTTATGGATAATATGTAAAATGTGTTATCTAGATCCCACACCCTCCTCGTGATTCAAACTAATTTAATAAAAGTTATATTAAAATTAAAAATATATTAAGTATTTTGATTATCTGAAACAACCGATGTTAGCAAAACCCTATTTTGTCGCATTCAATTTCATATTATATCCTACAGCATCTATTAGATACCTAATATGGCAGACAATATGATTGTATCAATTCTGATTGCATCATCATTCTCACTTGGTTGAATAAATGTAAATAAAAATATCCAGATAAGTGGTAAGCTTATTTATACAGCTATTTTATTAATTCAATATTTAGGGCTGAAGGAGGACCTTGCGGTCGGAGTGGTCACAGAATGGTACTTAGCAAACGTCATTTGGTATTATTTGGCGGATTTCAGGATAATACTCATAATTATCAATATTTTAATGATTTATATGCATTCAGTTTAGCTGACTATAAATGGAAAACTATCAAAACTTCTGGTATGATAAATATTTGTGTATTTTTTTACTTAAGAGGTCGCCACACCTGCATGTATTGTCTCCGTCTTACAAACCCTTAACATACCAAATTTACGCTCAGAGACTCAAGTTTTATGCCGTCAGCTTAAAAATTAGAGTGAATAGACCTATTATGAACTTGATGGTAAGAACATTATCTGTGTTTAGTTGGAAGTTTTTTTACGGTAATTCAGTTTTTAAGTGAGTTATGAGCATTTTTAATTTACATTTATTATACACGCATAACTCACTTAAAAACAGAATTATTTTAAAAATACCTTCCAACTAAACACAGATAATGTTCTTACTATCAAGTTTCATATAGGTCGATTCACTCTAATTTTTAAGCTGACGGCATAAAACTTGAGTCTCTGAGCGTAAATTTGGTATGTTACGGGTTTGTAAGACGGAGACAACACATGCGGGTATAGTGTGCTCTTAAAAAGTTTGTATCTAGTAAATTCTTTATAGGACAAGCACCTTCACCAAGATCTGGTTGTCAAATGTTTGCTATTAGTGATGGTAGAATTATTGTATATGGCGGTTATTATAAAGAAAAAGTTAAAAAAGATTATGACAAAGGAACAATTTTAATTGATATGCATATGTTAACCCCTGAAAGTAAGTTTATATATTTCAACTAAAAAAAAACCATCAGTACACAATGTGTATGGTGTATATTCATTAGTTATTATTTATTAGTTAGATGTTCATGATTCATGATTTTTACTGCATATTATATGGCATATTTCAATACTTTTAAGTGCATAAAAATCCGCGCTCTAATTATAATACATAGTAAACATATAATATAAATTGTCTACTTTGTCACAATTAATTTAACTTTATTTTATAGAAGGTGATATAGATTGTTCAAACTATCGTTGGTCAAAAGTGAAACAAGCTGGTTTTTTACCAACTGCTCGTTGTAGTTTATCTAGTTCACCAATCCCTGGACAAAATAAGGCATATGTATTTGGAGGTGTTCATGATAATGAACAGGGAGAAGATGATTTGACTAGTACATTTTTTAATGAATTGTATATGTTAGATATGGAACAAAGTACACCCACTTGGAGATTTGGTATATAACAATTGAAATAAAATAATATAACATAATTACTTTTATTGATAGTTATTTTTTAGTTATATATCACGATTTACCTTCTGGAGAACCACGAAGTTTTGCAGATTCATATTCATACACACCGAGTCCACGGTCACATAGTGGATTAGCATTTAAACATAATACTTTGTTTGTCTATGGTGGAATTGTCGAAAAAGGCTCAAAATCTCTGACACTCAATGACTTTTATTCGTTAGGTAAGAACGGTATAATATAGTTATAAAATTGTATTATATTTAAAATATCTGAATACCTAATTTGCATTTTAATATGAATTTCAGACATTAAAAAGTTAAAAAACTGGAATGTAATTTGCAATGACGATATTTTAAAAACTGTGACTTCAGACTCTAGCTCTGATGAAAGTATGTCGACCGGTAACTCGAGTTCAGAATCTTCTGAATCTGATGGATCATCATCAGATGGACAAATGGATACTGATTGATTTAAAATGTTGCCATTGTAAAATAACTTTAAAATATTTAAATTGTTTGAAATCATATGAAAGCTATATTTTACTTATTATAATATGATATAATATTATGAATATTTTTTTTAACCTTTTTTTAGGTTATAAATTAAGCAATTAATACTTTGGGTTTTACAAACTTTTTCTTGATTTTTGTAAAACACTTGAGTTTTGCTTTTTGCATTCATAATTATCTTTTCTAATGTCTTGATTTGTCACTGACTTCAAATATTATAATACTTGTGCATTAAACCAAGTGAAAAAAAAACCCATTTTGTTATTATAATAATATGAAATAGAAATTTGACGAGAAATCAGTGAGTCTGTATTATAACATATTTGTTAAAGCTTTGAATATCATGCTTCCTGTTTAGTTTTTATTATAATATATCACATTTTGATTTTAATACACATTTTGTACCAATATTTTTTTAAATAAATTAATATATAAACAGTGTTTAAAAATAAACTTAACAATAACACAATGTATCTTACAATAATAAAATATTTTAAAATTTAAACTGTAAAAAATAGTTTTAAAAATAAATTATCATATTAATAACATTACTTAGGTAACAACACACATCTATAGATTCATTTTTCAGCTTAAATAGATACATTGGAATAAAATATAATATATTTTTACATTCAATAATACTAATTTTTTCTCTTTTGTTAATAATAATTGCAAGTGTATTATTTTAGAATTTGTGTCAATTGAAATAGTTACTATATGTTAGTTTCAAAATGTATTGTACAATTATTATTGTATTTTAAATGAATACCAGTGGTATTAAAATTATCCTTAATGATACATGCAAATAACCTGCCAAAAAACAAGCACATCGGTGAATTACAATAAATATCAGAATAACTAATATGAAAAATAGTTATTATGTTATTTATATATGTTCGGGTATTTCAACCAACGATGTTTCCATTTGTAAATCACTAGTGTTTAAGGATAAAGAGCTGATAGTTAATGTTGAAGGAGGAACTGAATTACTAGATCTCCAATGTGTAAATGGGAAAAAAGATCCTATGTTAGATGGTGTACAGACTTCTCGAGTATCCTTAGAATCATTGTCATTCATACTGATTAGTGTTCTAACTGCAAAGTCTTCCTAAGATGAATAAATTAAAAAATTTTAATTTGATATTAAAAATAATTTTAAAAGCAAACATTTAAAAAGTTGACACTTACTAATGGTTTACCTCCATTTGATATTTCTAGAGTAGGCAAAAACCTATAGTAACATTGTGTCCAAATACTAAGACATGAAATTTCTGTTGATACTTTTAGTAGATCATCTTGATGAACTTCAGAGGCATTGAAAAGAGGATTATGAAATTGAATTAAATCTTGATCCATGAACTGTTCTTCCCAATCCCATACTGACCGTAACATTAGTGGACTAACATCCTGAAAATAATTATTTCATAAGTTAAAAATATTTTTAATTAGATAAAATATTCAAACCTTAGTAGCACAATGACGATCCCGTTCACAATCAAATAAAAATGTATCGAATATGGAAACATGTGATGCATCCCAAAGGGTGGTTAAGTAGGTCTCGGTGATATCAAATTTTGCGGGGAACTGTTGAAGTAGTTGCCATACACAATCCAAAAATAACAACAACAATGGTGACTGCAAAATATAATCAAGCAAGTCTAAAAATTATTACATTATACATGACCACAATGTTGGCTCATGAGTAAAGACCGGATTTATATGTTTTTACATATCGTTACTGGGTCTATGCAGTCTTATGAGAGTAAAAAATGTGGACGATTCGTTCAATTCTGAATGCGTAGAAAAAAGTTTTTTTTGCATATTTGAGAATATTTCATGGGTTGGAGAATATTCAACCAATTTAGCATATTTTGGAATATTTCGTAAATTGTGAGCAAGAATTTGTATTTATTTTTAATTTTAATATTACGGTACTCTGAAAAAATTTTTTTGACCATTTACAATTTATTTATTTATTTTTTCATTTTGATAAAAATAAAACAATCAGTATTATCAAGGTTTATCTATGTATATCTACTGATAAGATGAACTTATAACACAATTATAAAGAACGTTAAAGTTAAAGTTCTTTATAATCGTGACTTATAAGTTTATCCACAGATATATACAATATATAATTATTGTATATATCTGTGAGTTTATCAAATATCAAAATTTTGTTTTTGTGTTTTAATATTATACTGTTATATTTATATTATATTCCAACTTCCTACTCTTGCTAAAATGCAATACTATTCCATTAGGTATAATACGCAACTCTTAATACCTAATTAATATCTCACTATAAAAATATAGTTGAAAAAAAATTTTAAAAAATAAATGCACATTAAAGCATATAATGATGTTTTTTGATTATTTTTGCATATTTTAGCATATTTTTAAATTTTTGAGAGAATATAATGAGAATATTTGAAGGGTTTTTAGAGAATATTAGCATCATATTTTGGGTATTTTAAGAGAATATAAATCCGGTCTTTACTCATGAGTTTTGTACTTGTGTCCACTTATTGACCTACAATTAACAAATACCTAACAATCAAAATTTGAAAACACAACATTCCAACCATTTTAATATATATATGACTAATGACTCATCTCTACGCCTATTGTTTGGGTTAAGATTGTAATTAATTAAATCTAACCAGTGGCGTACACACATAGGTGGGGAGTTTGGTATTCAAACCCCCCTTGGTATTTTTTTTACAATATGTATAGATGTATAGAAATTAAAAAAATATTTTGATATATACCAATAGATATAATTTTTTATAATTAGTGTAATTCAAAAAGAAGTTGAGCGTAAATTCACAATAGATTTTTATGAGAGATGAAGTTAGTATCTTGGCCAAATCAGTCAGAATAACAAAATGAAAATTATTTTTAGTAAGAAATTCTTAAAATATAAAATATTTTAGTGGCTTTTGAGCGGATCATTGTCTGAAATCAATCACATTGAAAGTGAGCAACGGCCGCAGCCACTAGTTCTCGGATGGGTGACCACCCGGGTTCGTAGTGCACAAAAACCTTGCCACACATACACGTGTTCCTACTTCCTAACTGACAGTACCAACTATCCCAAATATTATAAAATCAATACTTAAACCCATAGACCTATAAACTAATGGACAGCGCTTAAGAGAGAGAAGTCAGGAGTACGATATAAAGTGAACGAGAAATGTTTGGTACCTAGTAAAATGTATGTAGTTCCTTAGGCAGGCTCCTTCACTACTATATGTACTTTATGGCTAATGATCACCTATCATTGATGGCAGGGCGGAGTGGAATGCACTGCCCGTTAGTTAATAGTTCTATGCTTAAACCTAATTTAAAAAAAAAATTAAAATATTTTAGATTTAAGCCATGAATGTATTGATTTTACAATTATGTGCTTTTTTCTTTTTTATTATTTCACAGTAAGTAGTCGAGATAATGCTACTATTTTCAACTTCAGTATCTTGTTCGATAGGAAAGTGAATCTAGTTGGTGCATGGAGAGATCAATCAGTTTTTTTTTTTTGAATAAAGGTAGGAAAATATATATTTGAACGATTATTAACAATTTTTCATAGATGTACTTGTTTTGATAAATATTTGTATAATTTGTATTAATTCTGTATTAATTCCAATTGGAAAGGAAATGGCAGCTGTCATTACCTGTTCTTAAAGAGCCCTAGAGGAACTATTCTGTGGTAAGTTGATAGTTGGTATCGTAACTAAATAATTTCAATTTGCAATATAAGTTATAATAATATGAGTCAACCCATAGAGCATGGCTTTAGATAAGGCTCTACACATATGTATAAATAGTGCCCTACTTTAAAGATCTTGGATCATATTATACTCCGTATACACAGACTTCTATACTACTAGAAATCTGTGTCCGTATATGACCAAAGCTTTAGATAGTGCCATAGAGTAATTACGCCTTCGGTAATGTAACGCACTAACGCTGCAATTCTTGATGGAAATACAGTCGTATGCTACATAAAATCGGTAAAAATCGCTTCAGTTTAGAACACCTTCAGTGATAACGGGCCTTATCAGTGATTTTAAGCGCATATCCATCAGACAGTAGTGTTTTCGTTTTGGTTGAAACTACGATTTTCCGATGCATAAACGCATTCGATGCTCTAAATTTCCTGAACGCTATAGCTTGAAAATACGATGCATCTTAGAACACGTTTTAACATTTCGATGGTAATACGTATCCACAGCGTTGAGCGTTGTATTACCGAAGGCGTAATAATATAATATGTTATTTATAACAGCTGCTGTGGAGTCAACTTGTCAACTTATATCTTATCAATAAATATAAAATAGCAAATAATTAACAACAATACAAATTGCAATAGTTAAATAATTTATGTTTGCGTTTGGTAAATTGAATTTATTGTATCAATCAAAAGAAAGTGTTAAAAATTGGATGTAAATCTTTTATAATCGTAATTTTTTTTTTATTTTAATTTTAAACTATTTTTTTAACTATTAATTAATTTTAAAAAAAGTTCTCAGTAAACAAAAGATAGTAAGTACAATAAAAATCGAATTTTTAAGTTTCAAAAGGTCTACTATGTACATATAGTATATTAGTATGCCACATAACCACATAGGTATTAGGTACTATTAAGTTTTTAAGGGCGTAGGTCAGAGGTATTCAAACTTTTTCATTATGCGGCTCCTTTGTGGGTTCACAAATATTTTTACGGCTCCAAAATTATTAAGAAAAATTGAAACAATACAGATCCAATATTATAGCTGATATAGGTGATAATAACAGTGACTTTAGTACTAGAAATAAAACTTCAAATAGTCGTGTTATGTGTTTCATTGTTGTTTCAATAATTATTGCTTTAATGATTATAAATATTATTTACACTTGACCTACATTAATTTTGGTTTCCGGTGTTTTGAAGCGGCTCCCTTGGACAACTCTCCCGACACCCCTAGGAGCCGCGACGCACACTTCAATACCCCTGACATAGGTACTTTTTATTGGTTATCATACATTTTTTGTAATAAAATTCATCAAGTAGCAGCAGGACCAAAATAAATAATCTAATATAATCTAATATGAATAATAAACTAATAACTAATAAACTTAATAAAAAAAAAAAACAGACAGGATTTGTTTAATTTTTTTTCATGTTGTACAAAAACTTAAATTTTTTCTTTTTATATTTATGTCAACAATTATCAATCAGTAAATAATATTTCAAGTAATATTTGAAGCACTATCAGAAATTTAAAAATAAGATAAAAACTACCAATGACACTTTAAAATTTATTATAATACAGGTGTACCGTGAGGATTTACCAATCGCGATTTTTCCCAATATAATAAATATTACACAAATCTGTTTGTTTTTATTAGATTCACGGAGGTGGCAAGGACTACATTTTATTTTTTAATTTAATTAAAACTTTTGGTAAAAAAAGTTAACTAATTTATTGTTAAAGGAGCCATTTTATAGAGTTTATTTTTAGTAATTTCATGATTTTTAATCAATTTCTTTTTAACTATAAAGTTAAAATGACAAAACCCAGTTTTTTTACTGGTGTGTCTCCCTCTATGGTTAATGGGTATATCCTCACGGGACACCCTCTATATTGCCAGTAACAATATTTTTAATAATTTATATTTGATTGTTCAGAATATGGATGAAGACGAAGGAGGCATTACATTTGTAAATTGTGTTGGTTCAGACATTAATATATTTAAAAAGCTACCATATGAAGATAATTATGAATGTGAAACTTGCTTACTGTATGATGAACCTGAATATCATATTGATGATCCTGAATATGTTAATACAACTTGGAAATTTTTTGACAATATAACAAAGAGATATCTATTAGGGAATGGGAAAGAAATTTTTCATTACCAAAAATATGAATGCCCCCCACTAATAGTTAAAATTAACACACCGTTATATACTTTACAAGAACTTTGCAAATATACAATTTCCACAAGACTTTTATTTAACAATATTAGTAATGCAGAAATCGATGAAATGGAATTACCCGAACAGTTTAAAATTGATATAAAAAGTTGTGTACGAAAATTAGAAGAAAGGTATGAAGCAGATGAAGATAATTGTAGTCAAGATTGGACAGTATACCACGAAGAAGAATATCATAATTAAAATGTTTTAAATAAACATTTATATACATATATATATATATATCTCATTATACACATTTTACTCTTTATTTTAAAATATTATATAATTTATTTATTTTTATTGAAACATGTTGTCATCACAGATTTCAAAATAAAAACATTTAATCCTCAAATTGCTCTATTCTAATACTTGTCTTGTTTCCCACTAGAGGCCAATTATTATCGTAGGTGTCAAAAGTTCTATCAGTGGGTGTCTAATATTATAATATTCACTAATATAACATTAAACAGATAGCTATTTGATGATCATGTGAGGGAGGGTACCATAGATGTATAACTTAATTGGTTTATATGTCTATGAGATAAAAATTTTTAACATAAATATATAATTTAAAAATAAAACCAGGAAAATCGATCTACTGTATTGTAAGTTATAAATTATAAATATACTTTGTCACTTTGTAGGTCACTATATCCGATGTGTTCAATTTGAGTTCATCGATAAATCATTGCAAACAAATAACAATTCTGATTGGGAACAGGACACATTCTAGAAAGTGCTAATAGACTTGGTGAACATTTAAATTATCATTTTGAACTTATAATACAATATATTATAGTATATACCAGGAGTCACTAAATGGCTGCAAACAAGGAAAAAAAGTAAAACTAGTGTTATAACTTATCATTTGGTCTTGGTATTTTTATGGCCTGCAAACATTTTCAAGATTCCTGATGTGGCCCTTTAAAAATATTAATTGGCGACCTCTGGTATGTACAATAATGTTAGTAATGTCTAAAAGTGTGAATTTTTAAATAGCTATTCAACTCACTAGTGGCTATTATTGTGTGATAAAACTCAACTTTATATATACTGAGTGCGCCGAGAGAGCGCAAGTCGGCTGCGCAGGTCTCCGTGGGTTAGAGGTCTAATTTCGCCCACCAAGTCAACTGGTCGTACGCCGTACGATGAGCGGACTACGACGGGTTTTGGTCATCGCCGACTTGCGCTCTCTCGCCGCACTCAGTATAGTATTAAATATATATATATATATATACTTTACTTTAACAGAATCAGTACTATTAACATGACCAAGTCTTGTACAAAATTGATGACCCATAACAACCCCATTCCTTTGCATTAATGTTTGTAAGCCCACAATGGATCGAAAATGAGAATCTATCATCAATTGTGCTAGACTAGAAATTACACAGCATAAATCACGTCCATCTCGTTCTAAAACATGAAATAGAATTCATAAGTAGGTATTCACTATTTTTTAAATGTAATACTTATAACATTTAACATGAATATTGTAAACAATAATTTAGCCCGTTAAGGTATATTATTATAAAGTATTATTGTAATACCTATTTGTTTGTTATAGAATCCTAAAAATTGGGAGAGGCTATACATGTGTAAACAATAACTAACAATAAAATCTTATAAGTTTATCATTTCATGTTTTATTAATCGAAAATAAAATAATAAAAAGGTGTGAAATTGGTACTAGGTCCGCTGTACAGTATAGGTGTCACGTAGATCACTGTAATCGATGTGATAAATTAAAACTAAAATTACAATTATACAAAATCATTGTATATGTAAACGATTCTGAGTGATGACGTTTTTGTCCGCCTATATTACTAAATATATTTTATGATATTATTACTGTTAATGTTATTAATTTTCCTATAATAATACAGTAGTTTGAATACATTTTTACCTAAAATATTAAATTTTAAAATGTCATTGTGCATATTAAATATAATAGTATATTTTAAAAGTTTTAAGTATCCACAAAAAATAATTTTAAATTACAATAAAAATAAATAAAATTGTTATTCTTTGTTTTAATATCTAATTTGAATAAGAATATTTACAAAAATAAATTATGCTCTTATATTTGTATAGTTTTGTTGGATAGTTGTAGTTCAATATGAACTACTTATGAGAAACCTTGTTTCAAGATTGTAAATTCTTAGCTGCAAAAATTTAACATTCTATAAGATTTAACTTTGTAAATTGTTGTTATTTCGATGAATTTTGTTTTTAGATTTGAACTTTTAAACTGCTAATACACCTTGAGAAACCTTGTATTAAATGTCCAAGCTTTTTAACCCATTAAAATTCAATATTTATAGGAATAAACTAATAAAATTGTATAATATTAAGTATCTATAAATGATGCTTCAGTGACATTAGTTGTCCCCGTCTTTCAAGTGCGTACCTGGCAAATTTTTTGCTTAACAGACCACATTTGTCTCCGTTAGTTTAAAATAAGAGTGAATTTATCACTTTCAAATTTAAAGATAATATTATTATCCAAGAAATGACATAGGCTATTTATTATATTTTAATTTTAAAGAGAACTATGAGAATTTAAAATTGTAATTGTTTGTTACATATAAAATACTCATAAATTGCTTTAAAATTAAAATATAATAAAAAAAAACTGTCAATGCCTAGGTAATAAAATTCTAGAAATCTTACCTTTAAATTTTATAAGAGGTCAATTCACTCTAAGTTTTAAACTTACAGAGATAAATGTAATCTGATCCTCTAATGATAAATTAACATTCTGTGATTATTTCAAATGTCTACAGTTATTCGTTTTTGAATTATACCACGAAAATAAAATACATTTTGCTTTTGATTACTTTTAACGGCTGGGGATTTTTTCCATTAACACCCTTAAGTACCAACCATATTCAGTTTCCAAACAAAAAAGATTCTGAAGTAGAAATTGTATGAATTTTTATTGTCCCAAAATATAATTTAATTTTATAAACACAAAAAAAAAATAACATTGTAAAATCAATACACTCGTCCACTCAGGATTTAAAATGTTATCATTCATTACATTTTCAGTAATTTGTATAGGTTATCTCTATTAAAAAAAATTATGTGCACATACCTTGTAATACAACTGACTCATTTCTATTAAGTTTATTAGCAGCTATTAAAGCAGAGCTAAGACAACTCGATACATATTGTAACCATTTACTAGCTTCCAAAAGTGAGTAAAAAATGATTATCTTGCCCCCAAACTGCCGTGCACTTTCTAATAAAACAAATCCATTTTTAATAGAATAATGAATACAAACAATTAGGTATGAACTATTGAACAAACCCGGGCACAGATATCTGTAATTTTATAAAACTCTGATTAACATCTTTTGGTGATGGCAAATTTTTGGTTAAATCCATTATGAAAGGTCTAAGAAGGCCAGGATGCGATTTCCTTACTATTTCTAACATAGCATTTTCTTGAGTTAGATTTGATGGATCTACAACATCAGCCTTTCTAGATAATGTGGCTCCGTTTACAGTACTCCAACACCAAGTTGGTAGTCGTCCATCTCGAAAATGTTGCATTGCTATTCGCAAATGATTTTCAATAACTGCAGATCCAATAACAATAAACTGTGGCAAGCTATAAAAATATTATAGTATCTTAGAAATAATTACAGTTCTATAAAGTATTTACTTACCTCGGAGATAAACAGAATTTATTATTAGATGAGTTTAAAGTCCAACCAAAACATTTGGTACGCTGAAGTTCTTTTTCCCAATCATCCCGACATCGAAATGTAGGTGTTGAATATCTACTTTGTACATTTGGCTCCCTGCAAAATAAATATACATTTTATAACCTTAGAGATTGTTTTTGTATTTTAGATATACTTATACCAGGTTGCATAAACACTGTATTAATTTAATGGTTCATTCAAATTAAATGGACCAGTATTAAGAGCCACTAAATTATGTTTAAGTGACCATTAGGTCACTATTGAGTATTGATTGATTAAAATATGATTAGTGATTGTTCATTCAACCTGGCATTAAGGTATCTTGAATAATACAAACATCCTATTATTGGGTCTACAAATAGTAAACAACAAAACCTCAACTTTTCCTGATTATCAAGTTTTTACAAATAAAAATACTTTTTGTTTTAATTTATTTTGTCTCTATATGGAATTTAACTATGTATTTCAATAGTTATTACTTATTTTATTACTAACTAGGTACTTTATTACTAGTATTTAATGCTATCGATAATTTTTATAATTAACTGTGGGACTTAAATCTTAGGAAATTTACCTATTTTTTTTAAAAAAGAAGCCGGTAAAAATAACAATTTGATTAATTTAATTAAAAATAAATAATTCCAGTAAACAACATCTAGTTATGGTGTAAACATCTCATATAGCACAATAATGTGGTTTAGCACATTCAATATAGTAGGTTTTATGTTTGTTACTTGAAGCTATACTCAATGGGCACATTATTGGCAAACTGCTGTGGATTGGATATAGGCAACAGATTCAGATAAAAAACTATATTTCACAAACATTAGTAATATACTCATGATTAATAAAATGCTATAGCAAAAACAATAAACGTATCAACAAGGATAATATTGTTATTTTTATCGAAGTTGGTGATGTTTTGACCGTTGATAGTATTATTTTATTATACTGATATCATAGATTTTACAATATATTTCATCATAAATAATAAATAAACCAATAGTCATGATAGGTATGATTCATAAAATTTTTATTTATATTATTATGTCTAATATTGTTAGATTATTAGTAATTGGCTAAAAATTTTAGACGATTATCAAAAAAATAAATAGCGGGTAAGTGAGTGTTGCTCTACAGAAGGTTACAAGTGGCTCACGGTTATTGATGGTGTTAAATTTGAATTCAATGATATAAAATTATCATATACAAAAAACGATTCTGAGATAGTCTGTCAGCCTATAATATTACTAAGTATTTTATGATATTATGGTGATTAAAGTAATTAATTTTAGTATGAGGCTTGGTATTTACAGACAACAGTAGGTTAAATTCATTTTTTTCAAAAAAATTAAATTTTAAATGTCATTAAGTGTATAAAATATAATAATAATATACTCTAAAAGTTTCATATACCCACTAATAATATTTTTAAATTGCAACAAAGTAAATCATTATTTGTTTTATTATGTAATTTCGTCCACATTTGAATTTAAAATGTCTTTAAAAAGTAACTGTTTATATATTTTTTTAGATTTTTTGGTTACAGTATGAACTATTTATGATTATTTATGAGAATCTTTGTTTTCAATTTTCTATCCTTGGATATAAAAATTGAACATTTTATCATTTTTTAATTACAATAATTGATAATTTTAAAGATTTTGATAAATATTGTCAACATTTGAACTTATAAAATTTTGCATATGGATTTTTAACATTTTTCAACTGCTTTTATAACAACTTATAAGGAACCTTATATTACATTTATAAGCTTTTTGATCCAACGATTACAATTGTATTGTCATTTATAGAATAAAAAACTAAAAGAATGGAAACTACTTTGAATTTTTCCTTTTGATTCCCCCAAAGTACCAATTTGATTCACTTTCCTACCAGAAAAGATGCTGTTGAAGAAAATTGAAGCATTTTTACTATCCCAAAAGATGATGAAAGACCAAAAAAAAAAACACACATCATTATAAAATCAATACATTTATCACACCGCTCAGAACTTCAAAGATGGAAAGTTAGGTTGGACTTGGGTTTAGGCTATAATATTATAACATTTTTTCTTTTTTATTATTGATGAATAAATCCCTTATGCTTCCTCTTAAGAAAATCCTAGATATAATTAGATCCAGATTTAAAATCTAAATATAATTCTCAATTATTCATTATAGAGCTTTTTGGTAAAATCTAAAAAGCTATTACAGCTAAATTTGATATTTAATAATAATGAATTACCTGTAGTCGTAAGCAAATAATAGCTGATGTCTTTTTGGAAATGCATGATGTAATAAAGCATTTGCTAATGTTTTACCATGGCCAAGTGGTGAAAATTTAAAGCTATATGATAATGTTCGCATATTCTATTTTCATAAATAAATACTCATTAATTACATATTTAAAAATAAAATAAAATATTGTTTCTTTTACTTTGCAAATAATATGTATCCTTTGACTTTATCATTAAAGCGATGACCTGTCATTAAGTCTTTTTTTTTTGTCCCCTGTTAATAAATAATAATATCTATATTTGAAAGACACCGTCATACTGACCCAAAAGCAAATTTTTCTTGATATGATGTTCCTGAAAAATGTTTGAAATAAAATACAATATATAACTTATAATAAACTAAAACTATAAATTTACTTTTAAATGTTTTTCGTTTGAAGTGACAAAAGAAAGTCTGAAATTTGTAACAAACAAAACACCTGATATCCCAGTCTTTTGTTCATTAACTGGAGTGAATAATAAAACACTTTGGGCTTCAGCAATTATCATTTCACCTGCAATATTATAACAATATATTCTTAGACTTAAACACTAACTCTCTATTCTCTTATAATTCACATAACACATAAAGTGGTTAAATATGTGTGGTGTAAATATGAATTAGTATTAAAGTTAATATTTCTTAAACAATAATTTTAACAACCAAAGCAAATAGGTTTTATCATAATCATTTTTAGTTATTGTTGTCACTTAAATATACATGTAATTGGCTTAAGTCATTGATTTTTATGCCAACCCCACTGATAGTAAAGTGACAGTAAAGTCAATACAATACAATGACCACCTCTCTCAATATGATCCACATAACAATTTCTACGTATCCATTTAAAACGTTTATCATATCTATAATATTATTATAATAATTATTAAACATTTTATAGATAGAATTGATCGGTACTTATACTTTTTTTACTGTAACCCACAGTAGTTATCAAGATTGATGTTTTATTACAAAATTTCACAAGAACAATTTTTTTACCCATGGAGAAATGTTCCAAAATTATACCGAGTGGACACATATTATATAAACTATAACCTAATAATATTTATTTAACTTACATTTAATTATCAATAATAATAATTAACACATTTCAACAATTTAACAATAATAATTATATGGTTAATCAACCTCCTGTAAGCAATAGGGCTTGGGTTGGAGGTTGAGAGTTATAGTATTGCATAAGTGGATAAACTTAGATTGTATAATATATAATTTCTAAAACAGCAATTAAACACTAATTAAATAAAAAAACATATAAATACATAAAAACTTATTGATTATAAATACAAACATAAGAAAGATGTCAAGATCACATGAAAAACATAAGAGATAGGTGCTATATAAAGTAAACATAAATACAAAAATACATATAAATATAAATAAAAATAGATCATTGCTCACACAATAGTATTTTATTACGATACATATTTATATTTTTTGTAGAATTAGTTCTTAGGTATTTTTTGTCATTAAGATATAGCCATATAGGGAATTGAACGCTTTAGGTACTATACATTTCTGGCCTTTACTTTTTTTTGCATAATTTAATACTTGGACATTATATTATTTATCATATTCTTTTCATTATTTAATAATACCATAATAATATTATGTAATGTGATAATTCGGTGTCCACGAGCATTCAATTACCACTTGTGATGTTTTGTTTTATAATAATAATTTTTTTTTACAAAGCGGTGATTTCATATAATATTATGAGTAATATGCCAATGACGCAGTTATGTTTTTTATTATTTTTTATCCATCCTAATTTTATCTCATTGGGCTTCCTTAGTTTCCACTGTTAAAATATACTCAAAATTATTAATACCAAAAAATGTGTTAAATTCTTTCCTTATTTCTGCCTACCAGATTCTTCTTTTCGTGTCCGGTCATTGTTTACCATTTTAATTTATGATAAATATCTGATGTATCTGTTCAACAAAATGTGGGTTGTGGTTTTACTATAAATCACCATACGCGGGTGCACAGGGTATGTAGGTTATGTGTTTGCATACCCTGCGGGCAGACCCTTGTTTCAAGGGGTACAGAAACAGTATCAGACAACACTGGACTCACGGTTCATAATTTTGACTGGTGATGAATGTATAGTGATATAGACATGGTCATATGAACATGTTTTTAAATTTACTGTAAGAGGTTCTCAATAATTTAACAAAATATGGGTTTTATTTTTAGTGTACTATACTTAAATTAAATAATAATTATATTCAGCCCCTTCGCTGCCCCTCCCCTCTTGTATTTTAAGATGAGTTGTACTATTAAGGCACATTTTATCAGTCCCATACCCTGCGAACAAAGTCTATGCATGCCTATGAAAATCACTGTATAATATATAATATGGTACAATATATTACTATATAATAATATTTAACAAATTCAATGCCGCTCGTGATTTCAGAAATGACGGAAAAAACAAAAACTAAAACCACCCATACCTTTAAATTAAGAGTTCATGGTCAATGGCCTATCTTAGTTTCAGAGTTTATTAAAAAAAATCCGATTTAATTATAATTTATAACGTATATAAACGTATACATTTATATACGTGTTAACGTGTCACCGGGCCTATCGGATTAAACTCTGTTGACGGGTCAAGCGTCAGTGGAGTTGAAAGTGTTAATTATTAAGTCTTTAACAATAATAAACTTGTTAATACTTAAATGTATAAAACTACTTCAAATAATTAAAAAATAAAAATTATAATATCAATAAACATAACACCTTTTAATTACTTAAACATTAGGTCATTAGACATGGTTACATAATTATATACATTTATTATAAATCAATTTATTGTTTTAGGTTTTTAAATACCTGGATGAAGTTTGGGTGAAAGTTCTTGCTCAATAAATGATGTTTCACAGCTTGAAATCTAAAAATTAAATACACAATTTAATCAAATTACTTGAGGTTAACGTAACTTTAATAGTTTCTATTTATTTTATATAGATTATAACTAAACAATGTTTACATTTTTAGTTTAGTAGGTGTAAGTTTAAATTAGAGAAACATGTTAATCGTAGGTATTCAGTAGATACCAATTGTACACAACGTGGCCATTAAAAATCTCTAAATACTCTTAATAGTATTTTCAATTTGGATTGTTTGTAAATAAACTGATCTGTATTATTTGTTGGCCGTTCAAATTGTATTCATATTAAGCTTCTGGGTCCTACACTTCTACTTATAACCCTATTATCTTATATTTGTATTTGTATAGAAATTAGAAATATGTATAATACTGTTTTTGTGTCTAGCTTGTCATGAGTGACAGTATATAAAAGTAAGTTCAACTATCTAGTGTCAATAAAAAATATTTTCTTTAGTATAAAGAAAGCGAGTAAAATTAAGTCACTTTTTAGTTTTTATACATAAATAATAGTAAATAATTTTAGATAGCAATTAAGATAAATAGGTAGATGTCATAATCTTATTGAAGAAATCATAAATACAATAAAATACTCTCTAATAAGATTTTTATTGAAACCTCAAAATTAATTATAAATGTACCAATAACGTATACAAAATGAAAAAAAAAATACAGCAGTCTTATAGTTTATACTTTACACCAAGTCATAAGAATATTATTAAAATTTTCTATTACATTCTTAGTAGGTACATCATATGAACAAGGCAATGGTTACTTATATATTATGTTATCATTACCGAGATTACTGTCCATAAATTATTTATTACCTAACAACTAAACCTATGATATACATTTGATATACAGCCAAAGTGTTATTTCATAAAGTTATGTCAAGTATTAAAAAGATACCTAAGAATTTTACCTGTTCGTCATCGTCCCAGCCAACATAACTTTTAAAGCTATTTGTTAATCGATTTTCATTCATCATTATAGCTACCTCATATCTATGCATTGGGTAAATATTTTCACAACAAAATGTTATTGAAACTAAAAAAAATTGATAATTGACGAACTAATACTAAAGAATATAATATCACAGTTAAGTTTAACTACAACATTAACGATTAACCACTAATTATTTAATTAATTATACGTTTATACTTTATATCACGATTTAAGATAAATGATAATTATCCTAAATCGTCGTTTATAATATGGAATAATATAATAATATTATTTAGATTGATTAAGTTTTAAGTAATAACAAATTAACAATTAATAATATTTTGATATTTCCAACAATTTTTTTTAAATTATAAAACATAACCAAAAAACTTAATAACAAAAACAATATGATAAGTAAGCGATGTGCATATCAGTATAATAACACAATTTCACAAACGACACAAACTATAGTACCTATAGGTAAAAAGGTAGATTTTTAATTTGTATGACTGACGACCAGGGCCGGATTATGGTCATAATTTAAGGGGGGCTATTACTTTTATTGAGGCCTTTTCACCTAAAACAATTTCCTTTTTTTCTTCTGATTTATTAATTTGTAATAAATATAAATATAAAATAAGTATATAGAATTGTTTTTAAATAACATTGTATTCTTATATCATATTATACATTTTTCGGCATATGCAATAAAAAAAATATACATATATATTTTTAATCTTATATAATATTATGTTTGAAAAACTTTTTCCTGGATTTTTCCTGGGCAAATTGTCTTATAATATTTTCAAATGAAATATTCATGGTCAATTCACACTCTATTGAAAGAATAGATAGAGATGTCAGTCTTGATTCACCCATCATAATACAACGATATTTATTTTTAATTATTGTTAGTGCAGAAAAAGATCGTTCACATTCACAGTTAATAACTGATATACTTAAAAAAATTCGGAACGCTACTGAAATATGTGGAAAAACGCCCAAGAGATTATCTTCAACAATAATTTGTAACATGTTAACCGGGTTTTTTATTAATTTATTATCTTCCTTGACTTTAACCATACCAATGAATTGTTTCAATTCGTCGTATAGACTTTCTTCTAGATCACGAGAGTAAACTTTGACTAAATTATTTACGGATTTTTTCAATAAATTATCATCAATCACGTCCAAGCGAGTCAAAATTCCAAAAGGTTTGTTTATATTGTCTTAAGCTAAGCTACGTTTTTTTTTAATTTGGTTTTGCAATTTATCAATGATAACAAAAAAAGTGTTTACTCTAAATGTATCTCTACCTTTTAAACTCTCATGACATGTAGTACCATCCGAATATTTTTGAATAATTTTACGTTTGTTTTTTCCTCCATTAGACCATTCAAAAGTACGTGTTTGTCGTTCATAGAACGTGTAATGAAGTATCCAAGTCCATAGTCTATTTTCATATGACATAAATTTAAAATTTATAAGTTATAATAATGTTTTGAAAAAAAATGAGTTGACACACTGTGGCCCCTTTCAACTTGCGGCCCGGGGCTATAGCCCCCCCTAGCCCCCCCTTGATCCAGCCCTGCTGACGACTGTTTGAAACCACAGATCGGGTGACCCATTTAACGTGTAAGACACTCATTATTTCAGAAAACAATAGTATATTTGAAAATATTTTTCTTATTAATATTAAGTCGTTAAAACTAAAAACAACATTTTTAGTAAAACAATTTGTATTTTTTACTATTTGTCATCGTTATCAATAAATCATTAGAATGTCAGACACTCTGATGCCTGCCCTCTGGCAGTCTGGCCCACGAGCAACATTTGTCTAATTTACGCAGAATCATTTTTTTTTATGTTTATGAGTACTTAATCTTAGAGTAAAATCATCCATAACGATGATTATAGAGAATAATATTTTTGAGAGTTTAACATATCAATTTGCCTAGATATTGTCTCAAAACAATTTTAACTTCATTTAAATGCCTATACAAAATTACTTTTTTTATTTTGAAATTTTAAATTGTAAATTTGAATGTTTTTTATCAAAAAAAAAATGTCTTTAAGAAAGTCAAATTAAATTTTTATGAGCGTTTGAAATTCAAATTGTTGAAAAATTGGATATTCACTCGATTTCTCATGTATAGCGATTTTCTTATTTTGTTGTAATTGAAAAACGAATAACTGTAGATACCTACATGACAATTTCACTGAATGTTTATATAAGCATTTTCTATACACCATACAATTTTGAAAATATTTTGACTCTTTTTGAGCTGTTTACGGACATTTTCAGTTTTAAATTTTAGATTCTGAGTGAAACGATGAATGTATTGATTTTACAATGATGTGTGTTTTTTTTTTTATTTTTTTTGTGTCTGTGTACACGATAAGTAGTCGAAATAATGCTTCGATTTTCGACTTCAGTATCTTGTTCGATTGGAAAGTGAGTATCGTTGGTGCATTGGGGAGGTCAAAATTTAAATTTCCCAGTAGTTTTCAAAAGCGCCGGGAAAAACAAAAGAAAAATTACGGAAAGACGGGAATTTTTACGCAAAATCGGTTTTCCAAAAAATCGATTTTGGTTTTTGGTGTAACTCTAAAAGAAATGAACGTATATACATGAAATTTTCACTGGTTGTTTATATTTGCATTTTCTATACACGATAACATTTTCAAAAGATTTTGATTTATTTTGAACTGTTTAGGGACATTTTCATTTTTCATTTTTTTTTAGTTTTTTTTCTAGAAATATCAATAAAATTTTATTTGTTGGTTAAAAAAACTTGAAAATTTAATAGAAGGCTCCTAGTATATTGTTTCAAAGGCAGATTAAAAATATTAAAAATCGTAAGTCACAGTTTTTTTTTATAAGCATTTAAAGTTCAAAAATTGACAAAATATGGAAAAATCACGAAAATTAGCAAATTATTTTGAGTTAAGAATTCGTAAACATTTTTCTTTTTAAATCTAAGATTTGAAAATCTAATACAAGATTACTCATAAGATTGTCTACCTTTATCAATAAAAAAATTTCTACCGGAAAGTCAAATTAAATTTTTATGAGCGTTTGAAATTCAAATTTTTACAACATTGGATATTCACTCGATTTCTCATGTGGCAATTTCCTTTTTTTGTTGTAATTAAAAAACGAATTACTGTAGATACATGAAAATTTCACTGAATGTTTATATTAGCATTTCCTATACACCATACAATTTTGAAAATATTTTGACTCTTTTTGAGCCGTTTACGGACATTTTCAGTTTTCAATTTTTTTAGTTTTTTTTTTCTATAAATATCAATAAAGTTTTATCTGTTGGGCCAAAAAGTGTAAAAATTTAATACAAGGCTCCTGATATATTGTTACAATATTAGTTGAACAATATTAAAAATACATACGCACAATTTTTTTTTATAAGCATTTTAACATCGAATTTTGACAAAATTTTTCAAAATCTCGAAAATTATTAATCATCGTAATTAATAAATTATAAAATGTTCAGTTTTTATAGCTAAGGATTGAAAATTTAAAACAAGATTCCACGTAAGTAGTTAATTCTCTTACCGAAAAATCTAAAAAAATATACAATCACAGTTTATTTTTATAGTCATTTTATTTTCAAATTTGGACGAAATTACATATTAAAAAAGGTGGGCAAGTGGGTGTCGCTCTGCTGTACAGTAGGTTACAAGTGGGTCACTGTATAATGGATGGTATTAAATTTGAATTCAATGATATAATATCATTGTATAAGAAAAACGATTCTGAGCGGTGACGGTATGTCAGTGTATGTATAAGACATATTATATACTTATCTATGGTATTAAAAAAATTGACCTATAATGAATTCCAAATTAATCATATCACAATATCCATTAGGTACTTATAACGCGTTATACATCAACAAAAACCGTGATAATATCATAGATATATAATAGTACACTTTAGAAGTTTCAAGTACCCACGAATCATATTATTCAATCACAACAAAATAACTAAAATAGTTATTCTAGGTTTTTTAATATGTAATTTCGTCCAAATTTGAATTTAAAATGTCTGTAAAAAATAACTGTGTTCATATATTTTTTAGATTTTTTGGTTATAGTATGAACTATTTATGAGAACCTTTGTGTTGAATTTGTAATCCTTAGCTATAAAAACTGAACATTTTATAATTTATTAATTACAATATGATTGATCATTTTTGAGATTTTGATAAATTTTGTCAAAATTTGATCTTTAAATGCTTATAAAAAAAAACTGTGCCTATGAATTTTTAATATTTTTCAACTGGTATTGTAACAATATATCAGAAGCCTTGTATTAAAGTTTTACACTTTTTGGCCCAACAGATAAAACTTTATTGATATTTGTAGAAAAAAAAACTAAAAAAAATTGAAAGCTGTAAATGTCCATAAACAGCTCAAAAAGCGTCAAAATATTTTCAAAATTGTATGGTGTATAGAAAATGCTAATTTAAACATTCAGTGAAATTTTCATGTATCTACAGTTGTTCGTTTTTGAATTGCAACAAAATAAGGAAATCGCTACATGAGTAATCGAGTGAAAATCCAATGTTGTATAAATTTGAATTTCAAACGCTCATAAAAATTTAATTTGACTGTCCGGTAGAGATTTTTTTATTGAGAAAGGTAGATAATCTTATAAGGAATCTTGTGTTTCATTTTCAAATCTTAGATTTAAAAAGAAAAATTTTTACGAATTCTTAACTCAAAATAATTTGCTAATTTTCGTGATTTTTCCATATTTTGTCAATTTTTGAACTTTAAATGCTTATAAAAAAAAATTGTGACTAAGGATTTTTAATATTTTTCATCTGCCTTTGAAACAACATATTAGGAGCCTTCTATTAAATTTTCAAGCTTTCGCAACCAACAAATAAAATTTTATTGATATTTTTAGAAAAAAAACTAAAAAAAATGGAAAATGAAAATGTCCCTAAACAGTTCAAAATAAATCAAAATATTTTGAAAATTTTATCGTGTATAGAAAATGCAAATATAAACAAC